TGACTTGACTCTTATCTATTATGCCCCCTCAAGTTGGAGGTCGGTTGAAGACTCCAATCTTGCTTTTTAAAGAAAGAAATCGTGTTCGTGGAAGAGTTTTAGTGAGTGCATCGGCAAGCTGATCTTCACTAGAAACATGAGCAACACGAAGGATTCCGAATTGAACTTGATCATGGACAAAATGAAAGTCAATAGACACATGCTTCATCCTTGAATGGAAAACTGGATTGGAGCAGACATAAGTTGTCCCGATATTGTCATAATAAATTACAGGAGACTGAGAAAGAGAAACACCAAGCTCAGTTAAGAGAGAGCACACCCAATTGAGTTCTGCAGCTGTATTCACAACGGATCGATACTCAGCCTCAGTGGTGGAACGTGAAACAACATGTTGCTTTTTGGAACTCCAAGAGATTGGATTTCGACCGAGATAGACAATATAAGCAATAGTAGAAGAAAAATTTTCTTTGTTCCCACCCCAATCTGCATCGGAAAAAGCATGTAAAGAGAGTGGCGAATCATGATAGAGAAGTATTCCGTCATTAATCGTACCACAGATATAACGAAGAAGCCGTTTAACAAGAACCCAATGATCTATGGTTGGCTGATGCATATACTGTGACAATTTATTGACGACAAAAGCGATGTCTGGCCGTGTGAGCAATAAGTATTGCAAGCGGCCAACAACTACTCGATATTCAGAAGGATCCGAAAGAGAGGAACCTGAATATAAAGTGATGTGAGGACTGGTAGGTAGAGGTGTGATAACAGGTTTGGCGTCAACCATTTTGGTGCGAGCGATAAGATCCAAAATGCACCGTTGTTGAGAGAGCAAAAGACCATGAGTATGTGGTATAACTTCCACGCCTAAGGAATAGGATAGCAACCCAAGATCTTTAATTGAAAATTGCTGAGATAACAAAGTTACAAAATTTTGAACCAAGGAATCATTGTCATCCGTAAGAATAATGTCATCGACATAAACTAGAAAATACATAAGGTGACCACCAGCTTTGAGAATAAAAAGAGAAGTATTAGCATGAGAATTCTGAAATCCGGAAGCAAGAAGAAATTTGTGAAGCTCATGGTACCAGGCTCATGGAGCTTGCTTGAGCCCATAAATTGCTTTTCTAAGCTTGCAAACATAAGATGGAGAGTCAGGATCACCAAAACCTGGTGGTTGTGGCATATAGACATGGTCAGAAAGATGACCTAGCAAGAATGCATTGTTGACATCAAGTTGGCGAAGAGACCACCCACGACTAACAGCAAAGCTAAGAACAAGACGAATTGTAGTAGGCTTAACCACAGGACTAAATGTATCATGATAGTCAACTCCTGGGCGTTGGTGAAAGCCTTTTGCAACCAAACGTGCTTTGTACCTGTCAATAGAACCATCAGAATTACGTTTAGTGCGATATATCCATTTACAACCAATAATATTGTGGCTAGAAACAGATGGTACTAGCTCCCATGTTCCATTCCGAACAAGAGCATCATATTCTTCAGACATGGCCTGACGCCATTTCGGATCTTTGAGGGCTTGGGTTGCGGTGGTTGGTTCAATTTCAGTAGTGTTGGATAATTATGTGGAGAGATTTAATTTTTGGACAGGTTTGCAGATATTGTTTTTGGCTCGGGTAGTCATTGGGTGTATGGGATGTGGTTGAGAGGTAGAGGGTGTGGATGTGGATATTGGTATAGGTTGCAGATTGGGGCATGGTAGGGGAACGGTTGAATGTGAGGGGTGAGGTAGTGTGGTTTCGGCTAAGGGTAATGTTTCGGTAGAGAGTGATGGTACCGCGCACTGGGGTTGCCCGAAAGGTTGCATGTCCGATGGGGTGGCGTCTGGCGATGAAGATAATGGTGGCAATGAAACTGTGATAGAGGGAGGAATCCAAGTGGATACAGTATCATGTTTTGGACGAGGAGATTGAGTTGAAAGGGTATGAAACTACGATGGCAGGAGTTGGAATGGTGGTGTTGTTCTGTGAAACAGTGGCTGGTGGACAAGGTTTTGATCCATCTACATATCCTAGTAGATCATATCTAATAAAAAGGGTGTGAAATTGGAGTTCCCAGGAGATGTAGTTGCTGGTGGTGAGTTTGATTGGAGCTTGGGCTGATATGTTTATGGAGATGAGGGTCTTATTTGGTTCATTTGTGTTTTGAATGATAGGATTGGGAATCGTGGTGTTGTTTGTGGTCATGATTATAGTGGCTTAGGGAGGAACAACAGTAGCAATTTTAATCTTAAATTGCTCTGATACCATAATAGAGAAACAGAGGTGAAGAATAACTCAGTTTATTTCACATTCATTCAGTCAAATATATAGATACAAAATACAGGAAATTCAAAGCAGTCAGTTACAAGTCCAAAGCTAACTCTTATAACTAAGATATAATTCAAACTTTAAAATATATACAACAGCTTTGAGAGATATATGGGGTTGACTTGACTCTTACTATTAATATATATATATATATATATATATAAACACAAATGAAAATCAGATTATTTTTGGATTGACGTAGGACTTGGTATTTGTAATTATGTTATAATCTTCTTAGTAACGTGTTATAATTTTGTAGGAATTTTAAATTATATCTCTACTTTTGTGACATGCATGTTCGGATTTGAGTCTGGGCGTTTCTTGGGCAAAAGAGTGTGTATTTATTTTAACATTAAAAATAAAAAAATAAGTGAAGTGAAGTAAGAATTATATAGCATAATGTTACATTCCCTATTATCTTACTTAAACTACTTTGTAGTGGAGTAAGAATTCTACGTAATGTTACACCTCCCTATTTTCTTGCAATTACACTTAGGTAAATTTTGGTATCTCAACTTATATTAGAAGAGTCCTCAGAAGCATAACGGCGTTGTTAGTGATTCGGGAGGTAAGTCTTTGAGGTTTCACTTTCGAATCGCACTCCTAACTTAAATAGTGCATGTGTTGTGGACTGATACACGTACTCTAAAATGATGATGATAAAAAAAAAAATAAAAAAAAAAACAAAGGTTGAAATCCGACTAAATTACTTATCTATAAAAAAAAGAAACATATTTTATTTTGGAATATATTATTTGGATTATTTGATTAGAAGTAAGTACTTATTCGTATAAATATTTACATGAACTCTGTTGTTTCACGATAGTGAAGGCAAACTTTTCTTTCAGCTTTAATGAAACTGAGCATGAATACATACTCAATGAGGGGATATTTATTTTCTATTTCCATGAATATGATTGCTACTTTAAAATTAATTTGTTTTGATTGAATATAAAGACCATTTTGACACTAAGTACTTGAATCCATAGATTGGTGTGGCTGCTCCGTTTGTTTAAATGTAAAATATTTTTCAGAAAATATATTTTTATTTTCTGATGTTTAGTTGTCGTAAAATATTTACGAAAAAAATATATGTTAAAATTTAACAAAAATAGCTTATCTATCAATTTTCGGTAAGTTATTTTACATACCCCACTCGATGAACTCGACCTCAATTCCGACGTAGATGAATGCCAAACACAGAAAAAGTAAAAATAAAATAATATTTTACCTGAAAAACAAAAATATTTTTCAAAAATGATATTTTACATCAAAACAAACGGAACATTATTCTAATTTTTTTAATTTATAAAATGATCATCCAAAAATCACTCAATACTAGGGTAACACAATAACTTGAGCTCGTCGATATAACATTACTCTTATATTATTACAAGAATAATAAAACATTGTTAGAAAAATTAACAATGTGTATAGAAAAAAGAAGGGAAAATTAGATAAACATGGGAGGAGCAATTTCTTAAAAATCTGAGAAGAGAGCAACAAAATTCTAAAAGTCAAAATAATTTGCAAATATGTGAAATTTGGTCAAGTAACCCTAGGATGGTGATATTTTTTTCTTTTTTTGGGGTAACTTACTCTTCAATTCAAAATATATCAATATCCAATTCACTATGTGCTAATGCAAACTTTAAAACACCACAAAGATTATATTACATGGTGTTACATTAACAATTTTTGCTTATTTACACCCTAATTTTTATGAATGTGTAATATTTTATTACTAGAAAATTCTCTCAGTTACATGTGAAAAATAATTACGAGTGTATAGTATTTCTTGATTAAGGCTCCGTTTGTTTTGACATAAAATATTTTTATTTTTTAGGTAAATTATTATTTTTTATTTATACTTTTCGGTGTTTGGTAAATGTTTAAGTTGAGGTTTAGGTCAAGTCATTCAGACGAAATGTATAAAATAATTTATCAAAAATTGATGAATAAATTACTTTTGTAAAATTTTAATATATATTTTTTTCATAAATATTTTATAACAACTAAACACTAAAAAATAAAAAAATATTTTCCATCTAATCTAACCAAAGGGGGCCTTATTGTTTTTGTATCTGTATCTTTTTATAACATGTACACCAAAAAGACGATCAAAATATTAAATGGTACAGTGGCACTGTATTTCCTATCTTTAAAAAGTCGATGAGTGCATGTCTGTGTGTTAATAATGGTGGAAAAAAAAAATAATAAATAAATAAAAAATAAAGATCAGAATACAGTAATTATCCTACGGTTTCGTGTGACACTTGTTGTCTCTATAAGCACTCTGGAGGGTTTATCTGTGGCGAATAAAAAACGATTTCCCACGGTTAAATCTACAGGCCATGGCCGACCAATAGGTGACGTGGCATGGCAATTCGGAAAATTCCTGACCCACTTAAAACACGTGGCAAGGCGTAATGATTAGAATTCGTGTGGTTAGAAACCACGTGGCGACACACAAAGCAACCACACCAGCTACCGCGCATGGTTGCTCTGGAGTCTCGTGAGACCGACCTTCCAGAAGCTTCTGGGCAACTCCTGGCTAGTAATGACCCAGGCATCTACCGGTCACCGTCTCGCCACGTGTCCAAATCACCACGTCATCATCCGACGTGGCTCTCCCAGTTCGCTTGAAAATGATACTCCGTTTTTATGCACAACCAAAGGGTTGAGCTTTGAAGCCACTTTCCGAAACCCACACTCAAACTCTTTTGAGTACAAACTCCAAACTCTCTCTTTTTTCTCTCTCTAGAAAGAAAATCAGAGAAAGTGAAACTGCGATTTGAGTTGTGATTTTATTTTGATTTTCTCGGGAAAATCGCTATGAATGACGGTGGAGAAGGAGGCGAGGAAGGTGTGAAAATGGAGGAAGTGAGGGGAGAGAATTTAGTGTTCATGTGGGGGTACCTGCCCGGAGCTTTGCCGCAGCGGTCTCCGCTGTTGTCGCCGGTGGCGGTTAGGCTTCCGCCGTCGATTGGAGTCGGAAGCTTCTGGGAGGATGTTTGCGGCGGCGGTTGTGGATTCGCTATGGCCCTTTCAGGTGATTTCTTTCTTCTTCGTCTCATTAAACTTTGATTTTGACTTTTGTGGTTCTCAAAAATTGTGCCTTTTTCGACATTGGATCTGGAAATGACATTCATTTAGTCAAGTAACCCTAGGATGGTGATAAGAGGTTATTTTTTGTACGTTTTTCTCTTTAATTGAAGTTGCTTCAGATTTTTATTTTTTATTTTTGTTTTCCTTGTGAGATTGCTTTAAAGTTGCTCAAATTTAATTTTATTATTCTCTTAGAGTTCAAAGTGTTTTAAGGCTATTCATATCGCTGTTTCATATGATTCTTTCTCATCTTCTGTTAATTCTTGGGGCTACTCTTTCTCTATATATATTTTATTTATTTTTAGTTTACGAAGTAGTATTAGGCATCTCAATGTTTAAATATTTTCATACAAATTGGCTTAACTGAACTTCTGAAATGAGATGGCATTTCAAATGTATGGTTTCTTGTTTGAATTTTTTGTTTAATTTGTCTCTGTCGAAAATCTTTTTGCTTGTGATTTGCATTTTGATTTCTGACCTCTTTTTTCTTGATTAAAGAATGAAAAAAATATTCTTCCTTCAATTTGGTTCAACCAACTCACTTTTCTTTTCATGAAATTGTTTGAATTGTTGGCCGTGAGATTTCGGATTTAGTTGGGCTTAATTGGGGATTTCCGTGTATGTGTACTCATAATTCTTTTTCAATCAGACTCTGGAAAGCTTATTACGTGGGGTTCAACAGATGATCTTGGTCAAAGTTATGTTACATCTGGCAAGCATGGGGTAGAGCAGCACTGTCTTGTACTCAAATATATTGTTTTCTTCTATGATTTATTTCTAATATACATTATCTTTACCTTGCGTTTGTTTAGGAGATGCCAGAGCCTTTTCCTCTTCCCACTGAAGATTCAATAGTGAAAGCTGCAGCTGGTTGGGCACATTGTGTTGCAGTCACAGGTATGCTGTTCATTTTTGTATTATGGTGATTGAAATTGAATATTTTCATCTTGTGTTTGTTTACTGAACAAATGTAGGGAAAAAATAAAATAAAATTATGAATCTTCAGTTTTTTTAGTCTCTTGATTTCAAGATAACAATTTTTAAAATTACAATAATAGGTGAGAGAGGCTGTTTAGTGTTTTTGGGCTATTTTAAGAATGAAAACTCTTCAAAATTTTAGTTTCTCTTTTCTTCCAACCATTTTCAGATCAGCCAAATGGAACATTAGTGGTTGAATGACATAGTTCAAATTCGATAAGCGTTCTGTAATTTGCTTCATCTGTAGTGGCTATTATATCTCTTCTTTATTGGGCAAAAACCTCTTCCAAGAGCCGTGGAATAAGTAAAGCTTCAACTCTCAAATGCAGAGAATGGAGAAGTCTACACGTGGGGGTGGAAAGAATGTGTTCCCTCTGGCAAGGTCTTTGGAGATCCGTCCACGGGGTTAAGCCCAGAGAAAGATGTCTTTGAAAGACAGAATTCGTTTTTGACAGAACAAGGTAATTGTGTTTGGCCCTTTATCTAAATGACACACAGAAACTGCTCTTCACTTGTTATAGACTAATGTGATAAAAAGGTAATTCTGTAACAGTGAGCCCTCGCTCCCAGGGATCTAGATCTACTGGTGGAACAGTGTCTGGTGTGGATGGTAGAGGTGGTGGAGAGGAAAACGCAAAACGTAGACGAATATCATCAGCTAAGCAAGCAGCTGAAAGTTCGTCTTCAGGTGATGAACCTCTCTCAGCATTGCCGTGTCTTGTGGCGCTGAACCCAGGAATAAGGATTGCCACAGTTGCCGCTGGTGGGCGTCACACATTAGCATTGTCAGGTATTTAGTATATCCTGGATTATTTCCCTAAGCCACAGCTTTAATTTGTGGTCCTCTCTTTGGTGGTGTTTCTAAGGTTCATTGGTAGTATGGTGTTTGAAGTTGTGTAAGAGGCGTCATGAAAAGCAAGACATGATATATTCTGTTTTTTCCGAAGTTTCAGATATGGGACAGGTGTGGGGTTGGGGTTATGGAGGCGAGGGGCAGTTAGGTTTGGGCACCCGGATACGTATGGTGTCCTCACCACATCCTGTGCCCTGCATTGAATCCTCTTCATTTGGAAAAGATAGATCTGCGGCCCATTCTCGAGGAAGCATGAACTCAGAGGGACAGGGTTTTAGAGTTCCTGGAAACTATGTGAAAGGAATAGCCTGTGGAGGCCGACACAGTGCAGTAATTACAGGTAAGCATTTCTTGATTTGATTCATAATTTGTCAAAATGCCACATAGCATTCTTTGTTTAACAAGGTAGAAGAAAGTAGCTAGAATTGAGAATATGGAAGTCATTGGTTTGTTTAAATCATAAATTTTGACGTCACTATGCCAACATAATCATTTATGTTAGCTAGTCTTTTTTCATTTAAAATATGTCTGAAAGTATTTAATTTGACCAATTTTTCCCATGTGCATCTTCTGTAGACTGACATGTCATTTTTTTTTTTTTGCATCTATAGATGCTGGAGCACTTCTTACTTTTGGCTGGGGACTCTATGGACAGGTGAGGTTTTCTGGACTAGTTTAAGTTCTAACATATTTTTATTTTTTCATGTCATGTTTTTCATTTCTTTATGCAGTGATAAGTTTGATTAACTGGTACTTTAGCATGTGAATACCCTAATTTTTTGTTTAACATGGCTCGCTGGGGAATTGATTAGATGTGAGAGTAAATATGAATTTGTCAACTTATGAAGTGGGATCGACAAAAGCAAATTGTTGCTATTTTTGAGTTCTGATAAGCCCTGATGATTAGTGATATGAAAACGGCTAACCTAGTGCACAAGACTTCTGCCATTGCAGGGTCCGGGGAGGATTAGATGTAGACAACCTTACCTCTCTATGCGGAGTGGTTGTTTTCTGTTTTGAATCCATGACCTCAAGGTCACAATGGAGCAACCTTACCATTGTGCCAATGCCCACCCTCATTGTTAGAGATATGTTTCTTCAAAAAAGGAAAAAAACCCAAAAGAAAAACAGCTTCCGCTTTATTGGTTGAAAGATAACTAAATGTAACATTGTATCTTGTTAAAGTGAATAACTAAGTCTGTTTCTATGAACTACTTTTGGGTAGCTAGCCACCCAAATGAGCCTTCCTATAACATGAGCATTTTCCTTCTGGGTCAATGACCTACATTCATATATGCTGTAGCTTGTAGGTGGGTAAAAAGGAATAACTAAATAGAACTGAAAGTGATGAAGTTAAACTTACTCTAAGGGACTTATTTTGGAAATCCAAGTTGAGGAAGAAGAGTGAGACTCTTTATCATCATATCACTTCTAACAAAGGATGGATTGGTTAGAGATGCAATTTTTATATACCGGAGGTGTTCCATTTTAGTTCACCAACTGTGGATGTAGGCATAGTTTCTCGTGTTCAATTATCTGCACAAAGTTCTGTGTTGTTTGTTGATCAGAAGCCTAATCAAGTTTGTTGGTGTTCTATACAATTAAGTAGTGCTTGCAACTCTGCTCTTACTGCAGCTAACTTCCTTTTCAAACTCAAAAGTAATCTTACCTTCTGATTCGCATTCTTCAAACTCTGCTTTTACCGTAAATTCGCATTCTTGACGGTGAATCTTTCTGATTTCTTCATGATTTTCTAGTCAAGGTACAATGAATTATTTGTTGTGGAACCATATTCTGTTGCTTCAGTTGGCATGTTCAACATTTTGTTGTTCCTACATTCTTCCTTGGAACTGACAGAATTTATAAGGATTAACTGATCTTCAGTGTCAATGTGTAGGTAAGGTATAAATGTTGGAGAGAAAGCACAGTAGATGTTCAAGATGAAGTTCACTCTAAAAAGGGATAATCTGATCTACTCCCTTTTTATTTATTTTTTCTTTTTTCTTTTTCGGTGTGCTGTTTCTATTTCTTTCATTTTTTTTTTATACATGACCAATTGATGCTTGACAAGGTAGTGAAATATTCTCACTATTATGCTGTTTTGTTAGTGTGGGCAAGGTAGTACAGATGATGAACTAGTCCCTACTTGTGTCTCTTCTTTATTGGGCATCCGGATAGAGGATGTTGCTGCAGGACTCTGGCACACTGTCTGCATTTCTGCTGATGGCGATGTGTATGCATTTGGTGGGAATCAGTTTGGGCAATTAGGAACCAGTGCCGATCAAGCTGAGGTACATTTTGAATAAACCCCGTCTTTGAATTCCTATTTTCTTTCAATATTATTACTTGTTTTCTTACTTAAGGTTTACACTCCTTCCTTGAAAATCTAGGCAAAAATATTGAATCATTGGAATATTTGATTCTTACTTTTACCCATATGCCTTCCATGAAAAATTTTTAAAAAGGAAGGATGCCAGAAATACAGGAATTCCTAAAATGTTCTGCATTGCTACTCTTGCACTATTTATTTAATACCATGTGGTAACTAAATTGTATTGCATTAATTCATCAGACCCTGCCCAGGCTTCTAGATGCTCCAAGTTTGGAAAATATGCATGCAAAAATTGTCTCTTGTGGTGCTCGTCACAGTGCTGTAGTTACAGGTATGTAATCCATGCTCTTGTATGTGCATCGATATTTCCTTTTCTGGTTACTCGATTATTTTTCTTTTAGAATGTAATTATCGCATGTTTATTCTTAAGTCTCCCAAGTGTGAGGATTACATACTTATTGATAACCAAGGTTGTTTGGATCCATTGAAGCTCCCATGAAATTTCCTATTCTGACCTGATCCATGTAAGATGAAGAGAGAAGTTGAAAAATTGAAGTCTAAATTTAATGCAATTATTTCAACCCTAAACAATGAAAGAAGGGGCATGGGAGGCAACTTATTGTGTCATCCTCTGCTTGATTGGCCAGTCATGCACACTGAATATGACTTCTGTTCTATGAAATAAGACAAGTGGATGTTTGTGATCAATTTTTTTTTTTTTTTTCCTTGTTTGTGATCAAATTGGATTTTATCAAAATGGTACATAGATGGTAGTTCAATATGTGTCTCACACAGCATAGCTGGAGAGTGTGGAAGATCTAAAGATGCTATCACATGCATGGGCTATTTTGATGCTTCATTTGATTAGACAGAAGAGATAGAAAATGAAGAGAAAATTGGGATTCACAGCCATTCCAACCTTTTATAAGATTAAAATTTTCTTTCCATTTTCTTCCTTGCTGCCAAGGTGCATTTACATAGTTGAAACTTATCAAGCAATCAGTATCTTTTATTCCGAAAAAATTGGCCTAGGCATTAGCCCCACCAGTTGATCTGAGTGAGTGTGTGACTGCAGCAGATTATTTATGAATGGCCAATATGAGATACTAAAGGGAGGCTCACATGTGATAAAGGGGAGCGTTGGCAAGCGTTGACTTTGAAGTCTTAAGAGGGTGATGCAAAAGATGAAAAAGGATGGATTTAACTAATAATAGTAGCTTGTTGTATTAGTCTTTTTATATAATAACAATATTGTGGCCTTTTGATTTTATATAAATACAGCGCCTAGAAATATATTCTTATTGATAGAATATGTTCTCGAGTATTGACTTTTTTGCTTTTGTTTCTTGAAGACGACGGCAAAGTGTTCTGCTGGGGATGGAACAAGTATGGCCAGGTATCATTCTTGAACTTTTTGATCAATTTACACATAGGATGCCATATTTACTCAAAATCATTTGTTTGTTTTTCCCCTGGAATGAATCTATTTGGGATCTTGTTAGTATTTACCTTGACTAACTTGTGCGTCCAGAGCTTTTTGTTTCGTAATGTATTCTATTATTTCCTTGTGGTTTCCATTTACTTTATTACTGTTTTTGATATATCATTCTTGCTTGACACGCAGCTTGGATTGGGCGATGTGATTGACCGCAATATTCCTTCTCAAGTTTCAATGGATGGTTGTTCTGCAAAAAATGTTGCATGTGGTTGGTGGCACACACTTCTTCTTGCTGAATCGCCCACTTGATTCTTGAGGGCACCTTCCTTCTTGAGGGCTTGGACACAGTTTTGTTAGGTTAGTACTTTTTTAATTGATCTTGCACATTAAAATTGTATGTGTATGTACATATGCATATATTGATGTAACCATTATTTCATGGTTGAGTTCACCATGACTAGTCGTAGTATTTAGCATAGCTAAAAGAAATGTGCTTTCAATATGTCTAAAGCAATGTGTCCATTGTATATATCTTTGTCTAATGCATTTCAACTTCTGTAAGTTCAATGGTAGGCTGTTGTTATCAAATGTTTAGTTGTTTTATCGGCTGTTTGATTCTTTCGTGATCACACACAATATCTACCTGCAGCATTTACTTTTTCCACCACAAGATAATTCTGACAGGAATTTGTGGCATCTCGACGAGCGCCATTACATTGGCTTGATTTCGTGTCCCACCTTATTGCTGCGCCCTTTTGAAAGAGATGTTTTTCATGGTTGAAGGTAGTGGTTGAATGTGTCGTGTATGATGATGCGAAAGTTGAATGCCTCGTGATCTGAGTAAACAAGAAAAACTAGCAGGAAGGATGTGAATGTTAGGCTTAGTTTTTAGAAATTTGTGTGTCTGAATATCATGTTCGACGTTTATAATATAACTTGCATCACATTACAGTATGACACAGCATATACGTACGAAAAGGATTTTTTTTTTTCTGAGACGAGTTAAATTTGAAGTCATATATGTGGAGATGCACCTGGGCATACAAATCCACTACTTTATGTTAGGTTGAACAAAAACAGAAGGCTGTTCAGCTTTCCGTTCAGAAATACTATTGTGCTGCAATTAGAGCTTTAAACAGGTTATTCTGGTTTCGGAAAATATGAGCGTATGTAGTGGCTGATGAAATTATATTGATTTTCAATATCACTAACAAAACTAACTTTGATTCAGCATTCACAACCATAAATGATGCTAAAAACATGGGCTCAGTTTTCTTATAATTTGCTCTCGTAGTATTTTGAGTTCTAATCTAAGGGTTGGTTTTTTTTTTTTTTTTTTTTTTTTTTGTTTTCATCTACAGAAAATACATTCACGCACCCACAATCCCCGATGAAAAAAAAAAAAAAAAAATTAATAATAAAAATAAACAAGAGAATGGCTTTTTATTTATGATTGAATTGTCAAAACATAAAGCTGATGACCTTATTCTTGTACTATCTTATAATGCTATATAAGCACATGATAGATTACTGTGGATTGTTCGTCCAAGATGACCAATAGAACCTACTGATTTTGTATCTAGAAAAACCTAAATTCTCTCCCGTAAACAATTTTGTACTGTACAAGTAATAACATTATATATGGATGACGTAATACATGACATTGAGAATGTATGTAATATTGGGATAACAATATTCATTGTAATACAATTTTACATCGAGAATGAATGTGGACGCCGCACGAAGATACCTAGTGATCATCGTTTAGTCTCTTTGTTTAATCAAAATTTTAATTTTCAACTTAAATAGTCTTTGTTTAATTAAATTTTTAATTTTTTACTTAAATTGCAGTTGGTTAAGGTTCTACATTCATGATTAATCAATTCATACGGAGGACGCACTAGACCTTTGAATAAATACCACAACAGTTCCCTTGCTTCATAACAGTAACGCCACGGGTTAGGATGCTAAAATCATTTAGTTTGGTTACCTAAAGTTCGATCGTTGTTTGCTCAGAACTTGTTGGAATCAATGGAGCCTTGTTGGTTAGAACTCACCAAAATTAATGGGCTCACTATTAGTTCTGTCTTCACCGGCGTGTAAAGGTCACTACTCGGCCTAAGTAACTTCACTGATTTGGTCATTATTGCCGACGTGAAGCCATCTTAGTGATGGTTCTTAGATTGGCTGGTAAAGTAAAGAAATGAGATGGAAAGAGAAGTAAGAGTTATTTAGTAAATTTCAAAATATATTTAGGGGTAATTTGGTCTCCATGTATTCATGAACAATAAAAATTGACATATTTATAATTACTTTTACCTAAATTATTTTTGAAGACCTATTTTTAAAGTTACTTGCTGTATATTTTACATTATTTAGTAAATGTTTTACATTATAGCAGTTACTATTATACTTTGTTTAAGTACAAATTTTACATTATTTAGTAAAGATTTTACATTATTAGTAAAGCCTGTAAATGATTTACATGTAATGAAAGTTTTACATGAGTACAGTGAATAAGCTCCATTGATTTCGATGAGTTTCAAACAAACAACGACCAAAAAGCGACAAAGATCAAATCGGTGAAGCTACAGAGGCCCATCAGTGACCTTCACGCCGGCGAAGACAAACCTAATAATGAGCTCGGACCAACAAAGTTTCATTCATTCCAACTAGCTTTGAGCAAACAACGACCAAACTTTGGTCATCCTATTGAACGGTTTTAGCATCCCATCCAACCATCCAACCGGATAGCTCCGTTGAAGACCCATTTTAAGAGTTGCTTACTGTATATTTTATATTATTCAGTAAATGTTTTACTTCGTTTAAGTACAAGGTTTACTTTATTCGGTGAAGACAGAACCAACTGCGAGTTCCATTAATTTCGATGAGCGACTAACAATTAGGAGGAATGGTGTGCCATAGGTTTGAAGAGAGAAGGATAATAGTGACATGAGTAATAGATTGGTAAAGTAGATATATGATGGAAAGAGAAGAAGGATTATTTTGTAAATTACCTGAAGTACTTCAGGGTTATTTGGTCTTTATTTATTCATGAACAATGAAAATTGACATATTTATAATTATTTTTGCCTAAATTATTTTTTGATGAGATTAGTTTTTAGTTTTTACATTCTAATAATTAAGACTTATATTTGCAAGAGATATGAAACTTCTTTTGGATGAGGGTAAATCCATTAGTTTATTATGTTTATTATATATGATTTTTCACTCATACCTACCAAAAAAGAAAAAAAAAATTTCATTGAAGGGTATAATGGTAAGACGAAAAGGCCATTGTACTATAAGAAGACTTTTTAGGCCTTCTAGATGAGCCTCCACCTCTACTATAAATTGGTCAATTTTAACTTTTTCTTTTATATTATCAAGATTTGGTGAACCTTTTCTAACGTAGGAGTTTGGAAAATTTCCAAACTACTCTATTATTGTTTTTGATCCAATCAAGAACTGACCACATGGGATTAACCATCTTGGATCTGGCTTCCTCTCCATTTATTCTCGCACTCGATTGGTTCAGGAATAAAAAAGTTGACTCAACATTTGAATTAAATTTATAATTATCATGTTATTAATTTATATATATAACTGTCATATAAATGTGTTAATCATCGCTGTTAGGTACTCGCTGAACGTCTTTTAGTGGAAAAATAAATGGAGATGATTTTTTACCGTTGGCTTGGAATTATATATAATAGTTAGTAGAGTTGAATGCTAACACTGTAGAAACCGTTTAGACTTCTAACAAAAATTATTAAAAAATTCAACAATCTTAAAAACATTATTTCATAATCTAAATAAGGAAATTTAATCAGAAAACAACATACCTCACCAACGAAATTTCAGATTTTATGAGTTAGCTTGTTTTTAATATGAAATGGATCTGTTCGGATCAAAATAAATTCTTTAAAATTGTCTAAAAATTTGTGTCAGTATGTCCTTCTGAATTTTTAATAATCTAAAAGGATTGCAGAGTCTTCAATAATCATTCTATCTCATTCTCATTATCATTTGATTTGCATTAGCATGACAACTTGTAAAGTCAAAGAGTATCAAATTCATGGTGGGATGAACAACTGTTAGGGAATAATATAATGAGTAGTCGAAGAAATTTTTTTTAAAAAGGAATGTCACTAGTTTGACTTCCTCATAGAACCAATCTCAACATGTACAAATAGAATTTGGGTTATTAGGTATTAAAATTTGCTTTGGAATTAACTATATTATATACAAATCTAACAAGATGTAGTTGATGGCAATATCAATAATACAAGAATCTCATAGTGAGTTTTTTGTAATTTCACACGTTTCTATGCTTAAGGTGAGTCACAGAGAATAAATTTGACTAATCTCATCCTAATTATTTTGTTTTTTTTTGGTTGGTTAGGTTTCACAAGACATTGCTCATCACCGTTTGGTCATTGCGGCACGCAACTTCATTATTTTAAAGAATTAAGCTGTCATTGCAATTTTGCCCTCTTAGTTTGATGCATTTGTGGTTTCATCTCTATATTTCATCATTTATTTGTATTCTCACATATTCAGAATCCATGTCTTTTCCATATACTGTGAAACAATGAAAACAGAACATAAAAAATAGGGCCTGCTTAGTTTATAACTATAGAAACAATTTTTTATTCTCAGAAAATTGTACAAAAAATTCTGCTTGATTCAATTTATAAAAAGACACATTTTCAGAGAACAGTCTTTTATTATTTTTTTAAAAACTGTTATCAGTTTTTTTTAATTTCTGAGAATTGTTTTCAGAATTACAAACCAAACAGGCTTTAACCTTATAACTTTTCAATCACTAAACTAGAATCCTATGATCCTTGGGGAAATCTGATAAAATTGGGAAACAAAATTATTTGCTTTATGCTATATTTGGTTGCATAAAATTGGAGCATTAAAATTAGGATTGATGAAAAATTAGTTTAAAATTTTAACTAAAATTTTTCTAATTTTAATTACGATCACCAATTGATGTAGAACTGATTGCATAAGTCTATTTGGCTTGTTTGGATCGCCATGTGGTTAAACCGGCATGTTGACAGATCTTCTGGTTCAATCTCGAAGTGTTAATTTTTGATCAAAAAGGAGAGTGGTTTTATTTTATTTTATTTTATTTTTTTATTGAAAACGACCCTTGAGCAAGACTCACAACTATGTGGTGGCATATGCAGTTTTTCGGTAGGGCTGCAAGTTGGGTTGGCCCAACCCAGCCCAGTCCTAACCTAATCTCAACTCGAATCGAGTTGGGTTGGGCCAGCCCGAATTGTACCCAACATGGGCTATGGTCATCCAACCCGGGTATTTTCGAGCGGGTTGGATCGAGTTGACGGGTTGAGTTTATTTATTTATTTTTTTTCCCCCTTAAATTTATATATTATATTATATATTTAATTATATTATTATTAAAAAACAAATTATATATATATATATATATATATATATATTATATTTGATTATTTTTAGGCAAATCATTTTAACCTCCCCAATCGTCTCTATCTCTATTCTCTCTGAACTTGCCCCCCCCCCCCCTCTCTCTGCAACTGCAAACTACAAAATCTACAAGAATCAGAAGTTCAAAACCCATATATTTTAGTTTTATCTATTTGTCTACAAGAATCAAAAGTTCAAAACCCATATCGGCATATCATTTCAGATTGTTCAAAAAATCAAAACCCAGATCTTTCAGTTTCCATCGTCCGCTGTTCCAGTTTGGGTTCGCCGTTCGCAAGCTTCAGCTGCTGTTTCTCAACTCTCAAGCTTGCCCCCTTTCTCTCTGCAACTGCTAACTTGTATGTATGGGAACGGCGAGAGAGAGAGAAAGAGAAAGAAGAGAGAGAGAAAGGAGAAAAAAAAAAAAATTTAATTTTGGGTTTTGGGCTGGGTTCGGGTTAAGCCTGAACCCAACCCGAATATGTTTGGGTTTTGACAAAATCCAACCCGAACATGAGCCCGATTTGTAAACTTAAAGTCCAAATTTCAAAATTTCGGGTTAAGCTTGGGTTGGGCTAGGTTAGTCTGCCCAAGTTGTAGCCTTACTTTTTGGCCAAATACTATCGTTTAGGGCCTCAAAACGGAGTTTTTCTCTTGTATGGAGGCTTGCTTAATATTTCAGAATTTTTGTTTGTTGTCTAAACAAATTCTGATTGTTATGAAATTTTAGATTTAGTAGTTTTCATTCATTAGTATTCTTATGCTATTTTTTCAAAATTATTAGAGAAACAACCAACGGGTCAGTCGCCTAGCAATATCAACAAATCTGTAGTTGATTTCCCATATAGAAAGTTGAATCATTTATTCAATTATTAATATAATATTATATTTTACTCGTCACCAATAGTCGAATTTTAATTCCAAATAAATAAATAATACTAACAATAATAGTAGTAGTAGCAGTGACAATAATAAATAGAGAACAAGGAGAAGGTTGTAGTTTTTCCCAAACGAATTTAATTATTGTCTAAGGAATCCGGTTTGTGGAAGCAAATAAGAAAAATTTACAAATCATAAAAGAAAATGAAAGGGTTCACTAATTAAAAGAAACCTAGATTAATATGACACTAGGTTCGAGAATTCCATGTCAAAAGTAAGTAGACAAAAATCTAATAACATTGACACCCTTCTAGATGTATTATATGAAGAGATCGTATTGAGTGCCTCTTAAAAGAAAGATAAAGAAAAGAAACATGTTTACTAACAAAAGTACTAGTAATAAGATTCCTCTACAAATGCGTTCTGATTAAATTGGGTTGAATTTAATCAAACATCAAACTAGACAAATTTAGAAAGAAATAGTAACTTTCAATTCTTAACTGAAAATAAGACTTAGATGATTTACTATCGGTTTGTTTCAAATTTCACTTTTTTATTTAGAATTTTTTTTGATTGCAACTATTTATTATTATTATTCTTTTGTAATGAATAATTAATCAATCTATTTACTTTAAAATTTTAAATGCTTAACAAATTTGGAATATGTGTGATAACTCGCAAATTACACATATAATTAAACTTAATTATTTTTGTATTTTTTAAATATCTAATTCAAAATATCTGAATTTATGATTCGTTCTAAATTTTTTTTTTTTTTTTTCTTTTGTGCCTTTGTGAAATATGAATTTCAAAATCACGGGAAAGGGAATTACTTGGCAGTATATAATCTTCACCAACTCTCAAATTGCTGAAAATTAAAAAATAAAATAGATTTAAAAAAGAAAGTCAAAGATATGTGAAAATCACCACACTAATTTTATATGAATATATATAGATTATAGAATTCGAAATTGTAAGAATCTTCCAAACCCGAGTCCTGTTTTGACAATTCGCTCCACTATCTCCCAACCAAACGTCTTCTTCCATACTTTCATGTCCAAAACTTTGAGCCTAAAATTAAATCATAATATATAAATCATCACCTAAACCCCTTCATTTCTAAACACACCTCTCTCTCTCTAGAATGTCGATGACTTATAGCCTGCCGCTGTTCGCGGCGGCGCTGCTAACGTGCGCCTGGTGCGCCACCTCCGCCACTCGCTGCGCTGACTGTGGCACCACCGCCGTACCTTACCCACTCAGCACCGGACCCAACTGCGGAGACCAGTCATACAAGATCCGGTGCGATGCGGGGTTACTGAAATTCGACACACTCAACAACACCTACTCGATCACGTCCATCACCAACACGACCCAACGGTTCGTGATCCAACCGGCGAGCTTCGTCAGCAACACCTGCGTCACAGCGGATCTCCCCACCCAGGGCATCCAGCTCAACAACACCCTCCCCTTTAACGTCACCAGCAGTAACACCATCTTGTACCTGAACTGTTCGGACTCCCTCCTCCGATCACCGTTGAATTGTTCGTCGACCAGTCTCTGCCACACTTATATTAATTCCACGGCGGAGGCCTCGCCGTGCGAGGCGGCTCCGATCTGTTGTACGTTCCGGGCGGGTGGTTCTACGACGTCGTACTCGATCCGCGTCCGAGACGGGGGTTGTCAGGGTTACCGGAGCTTCGTTAACTTGGACTCGTCGTTGCCGGTGAGTCGGTGGCCACAGCCCGGGGTCGAGATACAGTGGGTGTCGCCGCCGGAACCAGTTTGTGGGTCCCAGTCGGATTGCGATTCCAACTCGATATGTGGGCCCGACCCGTCTGAGAATGGGATACGCAGATGTTATTGTGACTCGGGTTTCTACTGGGACCCGATAGGAGGATTGTGTGCTGAGAGTGAGTTGCACTTTTCTTTTTCTTTTTCTTTTTCTTCATTTTGTTTTTCATTTTCTAATGGTTGAGATTTTTTACAGTTGTGACGTGTCAAAATCCAGATGGTTGTGACAATTCAAATCGGACCGCACTTATAGCAGGTATTTTTTATTTTTATTTTTATATTTATTACCTAAGTATACACAAAAAGTACTGGATTACAGCCTATTTTTATGACTAGATTTTATTTTTCTCCTTTTTCGGAAGTTGATGGTAGGAAAAATTATACTACTAGTTTAGGCTCAGTATAATATTTTTTTTGGAAAATATTTTTTTTAGTTAAAATATTTTTTTATTTTTATTTGTCTGTGTGTTTAGCAAAAATCTACTTGTAGGTTGAGGCCGAGTCAATATTTTACGTCCAAACAACAAAGCCTTAATGAAAAATGAAAAATGAAAAATAAAAAATTATTTAAACCAGATTTTCAGGTAAAGCAACAAAAGTGATCATGATTTTATTCGAATCACTGTAATGACTTGTACAATTATTAGTTTCAAGTTTGATAACTATATTATAATTTTTTTTCTACATAATATGTCACTTTTTAATAATCACATTAATTTCTTTAAAGAGCTAGAATGTATAATAAATCAACCTTACGAGTAAATTGATTTGTTAATGCTCTGTATAATTGTTTCAATGTTCTCTTGATATGAATTGACCCATATTTATGTTGTATGGGTTTTAAAAAATGTCATATGTGCTAGTAATAGTCTCCTATGCACTAATCCTAATAATATTGAATGGATTTAATTGACATCTCAAAAATGACATTTGAAAATTATGAATTCTGTCATTTGTAGAAAATTCTTGGATAAACACATAAGATATAAGAAAGTTTCTCTTTAATTAAAGGCGTAAGCTATCACGAGAGCCTCATACGTGAGCTTTCTCTTTTAGCGATTGGATAATGAAAGAGAGTTCTCATGGTAGCATTGCTCTTTATCATGATTAAGTAGTTCTTAACATGAACTATAATCAGTTTTTTAATCTACATAGGTCTGAAAATATAATTATGAAAGCATACAATTAATTTGTGAAAATTCATATAAATAAAAAAAATTATTACTTATTTTATAAAAAAAAAGAAAATATTTAGTATGTGTACCGCGGCTACAGCCTGTGTGAGAATTGGGAGGGGAAGACTAATGGAGAACTAACTACTACTCAGAGAGTCAAAACATATATTCGCTTCAAACGCTTCGTCATATCTCATAAGTGTTACCAGAAAATCGAGAATGGAAGCAACAAATGAGCCATCACATGGATTGATAATTGATAATGAGTTTCAATTCATATTTCTCACCCATTTCACATTTACATAATGATCAATCACTTGAGTTTCGTGTAACTAGTTTGTCCGGAGATGTGTTGCAGGTTTGACCACCAGCTTGGGTGCAGCACTCGTTATGGCCATAATTGGCATCTTAGTCTACAAACGCCATCGGCGCATCAAAGAAGCGCAAGATCGTCTAACCAGAGAGCGTGAAGCGATCCTAAATGCAAATGGTGGAGGCAAATCTGCCAAAATTTTCACTGGCAAAGAAATTAAGAAAGCAACAAATAACTTCTCCAACGACCGCCTCCTTGGTACTGGTGGCTATGGTGAAGTCTTCAAGGGCATCCTCCAAGATGGCACAGTCGTTGCTGTCAAATGTGCCAAACTTGGAAACACCAAGGGCACAGACCAAGTCCTCAATGAGGTCCGAATACTTTGTCAGGTCAACCATCGGAACCTTGTGGGGCTCCTTGGCTGTTGTGTTGAGCTCGAACAGCCATTGATGGTTTACGAGTACATTCCAAATGGAACCCTCTTGGAACACCTACAGGGTGGCAATAGGGGCATGCTTACATGGAAACACCGACTCAGCATTGCCTATGCAACCGCTGAGGGACTCGCTTACCTCCATTTCTCTGCAGTTCCTCCTATATATCACCGCGACGTGAAGTCCAGTAACATTTTGCTTGATGAGAAGATGAATGCAAAGGTTGCTGATTTTGGGTTATCTCGACTGGCTCATACCGATTTGAGTCACGTATCGACATGCGCTCAGGGGACTCTCGGTTATCTTGATCCTGAATACTACAGGAACTATCAGTTGACGGATAAGAGTGATGTTTATAGCTTTGGAGTTGTGTTACTGGAGCTGTTGACATCTCAGAAGGCAATAGACTTTAACAGAGCAGCGGATGATGTGAACTTGGCAGTGTATGTTCAGAGAATGGTAGAGGAGGAGAGGATAATGGACGCGATTGATCCGATGCTAAAGCAGGGAGCCAGCAGTTTGGAATTGGAGACCATGAAAGCATTAGGGTTTCTGGCTGTGGGGTGCTTGGAGGAACGTAGACAGAATAGGCCTTCCATGAAAGAAGTTGCCGAGGAGATCGAGTATATTATCAGCATAGCTACAGCTAAGGTGGTGGAGTAAAATAGATATGGAGTTGCCTCTGGAAAAACAGATCAGTGTTTAGCACTTTCAGCTTTTAATCTAGTGTTATATATAATGTATTCAGTATCAGAACATGCTGTAATTTTGCCTTGATGATGTATATGAGAATTTCTGCTGTTTGTATTTAAATAAAATTTGTGTTATTGATATGCTTCTTTAGCCAAATGTTAACCCAGCTCTAGATATAAAATTGGTTCATCGAAGTTCGACCAGAGAACCAATTGGCCTAGTGGTATCAGGTCCCTTAAAGGAAGGTAAAGGTTTAGGGTTGTGTGTGAGTAAAAACTAGGGAAAAAAAAAAGTTCGACCAAAGTAATCGGGGTCTCAGATTCCATGAATTTTAGCTGAAGATAACACTTTGAAATGAAAAAATAATACAACCATTAATTAATAACATAAACATCAATTATTTTGTTCTTGACCACTAAATATCAATATACATCATCCATAAATAGCAAAGTAAAACAGCAACAATTCTCCAGGAACTGAAATCTATTATAGCCAAAAAATCAAGGAAACCCTTATCAGCAGCACCCAGGATGTAAGATGACTTAATTTGTTCTGGGAGCGGCCCACTCAACTCGAAGAATGAGACTGTCATAACCATATCCATTGAGCTTGTTGATGGCCCTTTCAGCATCTTCCTTGTTTACAAAGTTGACAAATCCAAAACCTCTGCTCACGCCGGTCTTCTGATCTATGGAAACGTAGACACGACTCACTGGGCCAAATGTGCGGAATAGCTCAAGCAAGTCAGGCTCTCTGGTGTCTTCTGATAGGTTGGATACCCGAACTGAGTTCTCTTCGTTCCGGCGCCTCATATCTGACCCAGCAGGTCTCTCTGCACCTGCTCTCATGCTTGGGGGGACGTAGGCACCCTTGGTGGTGCCAGAAGGCACGGAGCCCTCCGCCTTAGGAGGCTTATCAATGAAGGCTTCAGCTTGTGGCGCAAGATCCTTGTAAGGGCATCTAGATGTCCAGTGGTCACCTTTCTTGCCACAGGTCCTGCACACCATAAGAACAGCACCTCCTTTACCCAACTGAGCCAAGGAATCCCCTGCTGCCTTGGTTTCTTCTTTTGATGTACCTGCAAGCAGCTCCACTATGAGACACAAATTCAAGTAAGCATCAGATCAATTGAAATTAATCAAACTTATGATTTTGTCTTTGCCACATAATCCGAATATATATACGGGGGTGGCAAAATAGGTGAGAAACTATCAAACCGTCCATATCTGCTTACTTTTTAATGATTATAGTTTAATCATATTTAATTTTTAATCACTAAGATCAAAATGAGTTGAATAGGATTGATTTATGAGTCAAGATGAATTGTTAAATTTTCAATCCAAATTTCACCCATACATAATAAACACACACGACACACGCCTATTCTATTTTACATTCAACTCATTCATCTCTCTAAAATTCTCTCCTTCACGATCCTCCCCCTCCCCTCACCCTCAATCTCAATTTATTTCTTATCAATCCCCTCTCTTTAAGTTTCTCTATAAACTTCTTCTAAAAAAGATTTTAAAAATTTAAAAAAATACAGATTTAATTATCAAAATTAGAAAGAGAAACGAACCAGGGGCTCTAGGGCGTTCGAGCAAGATCTCTTCGGTGGAGACCATGGTGAGCCTACTGCCAACGTCCACGTGAACGGCGTCGCCGAACTTAGACCAGGAGCGGCGCTCTACGGCGCTCTTGCTGACTCGGGCCTCGGCGAGCTTCCTCACCCTAGTGGTGGTGATGGTCCTGACCTTGTTCCCATCGTCGCTAAATTTGTAGTCGATGACTTTCTTGATCCCGGTCTCGTCGGGTCCGATAACCTGCCGCGGTGGCAGAAGGAACCCAAAGTCCTCGCCATCGTCGTCTTCTTCAAGGTCGCCCCATCGGAGATTGTTCGATCTGTCCACCGTCATGATCGTAGCCTAGTGTTGCTTCCACTTTCTAGGGTTTCTTTGAGAATGGTAAGGCTCTGGTTTCGTTGCTTTCCACTCCTTAGCGTCTCTAATCTCTATGACAACTTTCCGCTTTACGTTTTGTTATTTATAAGACTGGCCTAATCCGGCTTGCTTTCGGATATTGTCAGGTTGTTGAATTTGAAGTATCAACTAGATACATATGCTTTACATATTCGAAAAGTCTTTGATGGACTTATTTATTATTTTTCTAATAAATAATAAATAAGATAATCTCTTAAATATATATTTTAAAATTTTAATACAATAATATATAATATTTATATATTATCAAAATACTCTTACTATCATTTATATTATTGTTAAATATATATTTCAAAACTTTTCAACAGCAATTGTAAATGTACTTAATTAAAGCATGGACTAGTATTTCTGTTCATTATGATAGTTGATATATATATCTCTGCCTAATTGTTGTTCAAAATTGTCTTCCTCGTTATAATTTTATGAAATTATTGTGATTTTATAAGTCGCGATCAAATATATTATATTCCAAGTGGCATGATAATTTTGCATCATCATTGCACAAATATAATAACGATTAAAGGTAACTAGAATAATCCAAAAGTAGGTCTCACGAGATAAGTAAAAAATGATAATAATAATAACAAGTTAGTCAGTTTTTTCGGTACAAGTTAGAAACTAGCCAAAAAAAAAAAAACAGGCAATTTGATAGAATAGGTCACAAGATAATTCAAAAGACTCTTTTAAAAATGTGTTGCATAAAATAATATAATTAGAATATAAATAAATCACTTTTTAGATTTTTAAACTGAGTTTCTAGAATCAAGAAAGTCAATGAGTATAATAATAGACGTGTAATAATGGATTGAAACTGACCAATAAAATCAAACACGATTGATAACAATAGTCGTCTTAGCAAAGCTCAATGCAGAATTGTAAAATATATTAAAATTGATATCATTCTCCCTTTCGAACTTTCAAATTTTCTATTTTTTCTTTTATCTTATTGACAGCCAAACAGTTGTTTAGGCTTTGCATTAGGAAACTTGAATGCAAGTCTCAAAGTCCTTAAATATACATAGAGAATGATTAGGTGTTGGCATTGGTTGCATATTTCATCCGTTACATCATATTTGTTACCTAAGATCATGCTTTGCGCATATAAGACGATTATAAAATGATTATTTGGATTCCTTGAATACTTTTATAAATTAATATTATTGTTTCATATTACACACATGAAGCTGTTGGTATTTTTGACTAGGGATATTTTTTCTTCTCGTCCGCTATAATTAAAAAAAAAAAAAATTGGCCAATACAAAAATGAATGAGTTCAAATAATTATTACTGTATTAGAGAGGTAGCTTTGAACACACACTTCTCCTTTCTTGAAAAGAGTGCTGGGAAAATTCTTGAAAAATAATTTTCTTTTGTTTAACCAAAAAAAAAAAAAAGAAAATTACATTATCAAGAAATGACTTCATTTTAAACAGTTTTGATTGCCATCATGTAGCTGTAGAAAGTTATATGTATACCCATTAAATGATGTGATCAATTGAACCATTGACATATCAGCACAAAAATGATAATTTTTTATCAAATGTATTTATTTTTTGTTTAAATTCTCGATAATCTGTATCAGTAAAAAGGATACCGTGAATATCCTTCAAAACGAAAAAGGGTGGCAAAATTGTGCTTGTACGGATAGTCGTACAAGTCAATGGAGGGGTTTTATTTACAATGGTCTCATATTCACTTTTGTAGCTGACCCAAATTCTGCTCACACCAGTCTTTTAATCTACGGCAACAATGATGAATTTCTGGGTTAAGAGGAATTATTAAATGGTATTGGACAATTTGATACCAGTTTAATTTACCCGATTGTTCAGATTTTTCTATAATATAATGATATATACTAGTAATATATACTTATGTGGGGCCATGCGGAATAGCTTGAGCAAGTCATGCTCCCTTGTTTTCTTGCCTATGAAAATAAATAAATAAATAAATAAAAAATAAATGTCATGCTCCCTCGTGTCTTCTGATAGGTTGGAAACCCCAAACCGAGTTCTCTTCCTTTCTACACCATAAGAACAGCACCTCCTTTTCTCAGTTGAGCCAAGGAATCCCCTGCTACCTTGGTTTCTTCTGCTTTTGTACCTTCACGCAGCTCCAATATGAGATACAAAATTAAGATACATTACCAAAGGAACTGTCAGGAACATGCAAAATTATATCTACCTTACAAAAAATGGACAGAAAAACCTGTGAACTTGAACTAGCCTCCACAAGGTAACTCTTTAGTGTTAGAAAGATTTGAGTCCCTCTAGACAATAATGTATGAAGCGGACTGAAAATGCATGATCATCTCCAATTAATGCATCCCCTCCAAACCAGAAACCTATATTGTTAAAAAAAAAAAAAAAAAATCAATTTGATAGTTGTTGAGGAACAAAGTTTGCCTCCAAAAGAGTAAATTAGAATTTTTTTACGACCAAAAACAATTTCTCTTTCAAAATCCAATTATACATGGAGTAAAAATATCATAAATTGCCACCAACACATCTGAAATTCCTTACTATTTTGAAATACAAAGTACAAATCCTCTCTATATTCATCAGGATCAGCAACAACATGATGTATGGATAAGTCAGGTAAAAAAGTAAAGTAAAAGATATTTGATCCTTTTTAAGTTTGTATTAGTACCAAGTTCAAATGGAATAATGGTTTACAAACATGATAATATTATATTGGTTTTCCCATTTTGCTATTACCTTATTAGTAAATTTAGGCTAATTATTAGCCCTAAACCTCCTAAACCTTCTCATCCTCACACTTCTTGTTATAAATTCACAAATTCACACTGGGGAATTATTCAAGACTAACCCTCCTAAAACTTTTCATTCTCATGCACGCTTCTTGTTATAAAAATTAACACCAACGCCTTGTTATTTATAAATGTTACCTATAAGCCCATCCTCCTTGATGGACGGGTATGATTTAATTTCAATATCCATTTTGGATATTTACAAGCCCACCCTATTTTTCTACAATATTTCCTATTCTACGGGCTTCTATCGAACTCTTTAATATTTTAGAATATTCATCTCTGCACCACACTAACTTCATACTAATTATTATTATAGATTATATAATGGGTAAAGTGAGAAAAACACTCTTAATGTTTAAAATCTGAGCAAATAACACCCATAACGTTTACTTTGGATATATAAGTCCGTTAAGTTTTAAAAAAATTGACAAATAGGGGCATATTTTGTATAATTTGTTAGAAAAACATATTTAAGTAGTCATTAAGTAACAATTTTTCTAAACTACCCTTTTGGTCTTTCTAAAATGCCCTTATACCATTTCACCCACGATATGTCATTTTTGGTTAAGGTACTTTAGTCATTTTATATTTATTTTGTTTTTACCTTTATTTTTCTTTTAAATACATAAAAGCACTTTAGTCTTTTTATCACGGGCCCTTATTTACACCAAAAATAAAGATCAAGGACTTTTAAAAACATATAGGAGGTTATATATATACCCTATTTATATATCATAAGAATGTTTATCGCTCACGACCCCTATATTCTATTTAAATGAATAGTAAAATATATATATATATATATATATATATATATATATTATTGAAATAAAAATATATAAGAGAATAGTATAGGTGGGGTCAAATTTATAAACAACAAAGTATATATTATATTTGATAATATTACTATCCTCATTTGTTCATTTTCATTTTCTTTATGCGTATTTTTAAATATTTTTTTTTTTAAAAGGTGAAATGCATAAAAAACTCCTAATATATATTTTGGGTAACACTTTCACCCTTATTTGAAAAAGCATGCTAAAAATACCCATATTCTTTTAAAATTGTGCGAAAGCGTCTCTTAATCAGAAATGTATAAGGGATGTGTTTATTAATAATCTCATTGTATAGGGATGTTATGTGCACATTAGCTATATTGAACCCACTTTTAAAGATTTTCTCTCACCTTTTTGAAAGAAAAAAAATTCTCTATATATATTTCCGCTAACAGTGTATTATCTCTGTTACAAAAAAAAATTATTATTACAATTAACAAATTAGTGTACAGTACAACATATGAAAGGAAAACTTTCTTTCCTTTTATAATTAAAAAAAAAAAAAATTATTCCTAATAAAATTTTAATATAGTTATCAGTTTTGATTAAATATATAATTTAAAAATTAAATTAAAGATACTTATTCATTATATATAAACAATATACATTTAATTATTTAAACTTTAGAATTTGTAATAAATTTTAACAAATATATATATAATTCTTCACATAGTAAGAGATGGGTATTCAATTTTTATTTAGGAAAAAAAAAAAAAACAAACAAACAAATGGGTGTTTAATCACCAACCGTTATCATACTATTCAACTCGCTATGAAAACTAAGTTCTCAATTGAAACTTTAGAGTCATTATTTATACATGAAGAGTGTGATCCACACTTTAAACATATTATAATAGTGGTTTCTGTGCTGACCATTTTTTAAAAGAAAAAACAAATTATCCTACCATTTACAATCACATTTTTTCCACCGTATTCTTATTTTACTAACTATGTTGCTATCAAACATATCATCTTATTATTTTGATATAAACATTACAAAACAATGCTACATTATTAGAAGCGTAACTCTACGAACCTATCACCTATTATTTTAATATAAACATTCCAGAATTATAGAAAACAGTGATACATTATTAGAAGAGTAACATTGCGATGTTCGAAAATTTTGAATCGTTTTCGATAATGTTCAATAAGAACTCTTACATAGTAATTAACTAAATTGAATGTCTTCTCGTAAACTTTAGTTTTATAATTTCCACGTAATCGATTATTCATACCTATTGAAACTTTTTATCATTTTTTTTAATTATAATGCACTATGCTGGTACTTGAGTTCGCATTTGGTTTAATTTTTATTTTTTATTTTTTTAACAAGCATTTGGTTTAATTTAAAGGGTAGTAGATCTGAATAAAACCAATCTTAACCATTCTTTAAATATTGAAACCAAACTTAACTGATTCAAACCATATAAGAATGGTTTAGAATCTTTAGATTCGTTATGTTTTGTTAATTGAAATAAAATTCAATAAAGATTATGTTACTTAATCCATCCAAACGGTATAATTAATCGATCCAAGCGTAACTTTGAATTACAGGTTACATAAAAATTAGAATATTATTATTTTTATTTTTATTTAAAATAGTAAAGTTATCTTATAATAGTCCAACTTGACATTATCTCTAAAACTTACAAAAGAATTGAATTACAAAAATAAAATGTGTGTCAAAAATCAACTTAATTCGAGTTTAATTTGATCAATAAAAAGAATTTTAAAAAAGTTTAACAACCTTTCTATAGCACAACAAACTTAAAAATTCGAACATAAATAATAAAATTTGGCTGAAAAATAGTTTTTGACCACTAAGTTAATTCCAGTCGAGAATAGATCTCCTATAGTTGAATCAGACTCCTAATTACTGCACCAAAAATTATGTCCAACTTTTTTATTTGGCCTTTAATGAAACCAATTGGTCCACATATACATCGACAACCTATATTACATCAAAAGAAAGAAAAAAGATTGAATTAGGCCTGAGATAAAATAAAGAAAAATAAATGATAATCCTAAAATCTCCTCATATGTGGAGAACATATGTTAAAATCTCCTCATTACAATGTTGTGACAAATCTTGTCAACGTAGAACAAAAATTTGGTTTTCAAATTCGTTTAGCATGCAATATGTTTTAGGTATTATATTTTTTATTAAAATCAAAAGGTAACCATTGCTTTAATTCCTACCAAAATACACAACATCTTCAATTTGGTAATATGAGTTTGGGCCAAAAATATAGACAGTTTCAAACATAATATGCAAAAAAACAATACCATAACAAATTCCAAACAAGCAACGATAGGTGGTAGCTGTTTTCGGTTTGCTTGGTCCCTCGAAGCCAAGTTGACCCATTGATGACTAGATCAGTACCAGTGAAATCCAACCAGTGAAAGTGCTTTTCCAAGAAGAAGCTTCCTCCTTTGTATATGTATATATGTTTATATATAGCCCAAAGTAAAGTAAATAGATACAAGAAAATAGTACTTTGAAATGCAAAAAATAACACAAACATTAATTAATAATGTAAGCATCAATTCTTGTTCTTGACTGCTAAATATCAATAAACATAAACCATAAATAGCAAAGTAAAACAACAATAATTCTCAAGGAACTGAACTCAATCGCCAAAAAACCAACGAACCCTTATGAGCAGCACCCAAGATGGAGCAACTTGTCAAGTTCTAGTTTGTTCTAGGAGTAGCCCACTCAACTCGAAGAATGAGATTGTCATAACCATATCCATTGAGCTTGTTGATGGCCCTTTCAGCATCTTCCTTGTTTACAAAGTTGACAAATCCAAAACCTCTGCTCACACTGGTCTTCTGATCGATGGCAACATAGACACGACTCACTGGGCCGAATGTGCGGAATAGCTCAAGCAAGTCAGGCTCCCTGGTGTCCTCTGATAGGTTGGTGACCCGAACTGAGTTCTCTTCGTTCCTGCGCCTCATATCTGACCCAGCAGGTCTCTCTGCACCTGGCCTCATGCTTGGGGGAACGTAGGCACCCTTGACAGAAGGCACAGCACCCTCCGCCGCAGGAGGCTTATCAATGAAGGCCTCAGATTGTGGCGCAAGATCCTTGTAAGGGCATCTAGATGTCCAGTGGTCACCTTTCTTGCCACAAGTCCTGCACACCATAAGAACAGCACCTCCTTTACCCAGCTGAGCCAAGGAATCCGCTGCTGCCTTGGTTTCTTCTTTTGATGTACCTGCAAGCAGCTCCAATATGAGATACAAATTCAAGTAAAATAAATTACCAAACAGATGAAGGAACATGTAAAATTATAACTGCATAAAATACAATAAAAAAATTGGACAGAAAAACCTGTGAGCTTGAGCCAATCTCCACAACTAATCTAGGTGTGTACATATCTTTACAATTAGATGCTTAATATTTAGTGTTGAAATATTTGAGTTCCTCTAGACAAGAACAGGAATGAAAATGCATGACATCCTTTAAAAGCTGACAGAAACAAACTCACGTTGACCCACAGAACATATCAGAAGGAACTTGGAAATATTGACATGTAAAGCCCTGGAATACAGCTTAGTAGCTTGAAATGGTTACACAAAATGCAGCATAGAAATGCATCAGATCAATTGAAACTAATCAAACTGATTTCTGATTCAGCAGGCATACACACGAGAAATCTAAACCCAACAATTTAGCAAAAGGGCTCGAATGGGTCAATCTTTTTCCACAAAAGGCTAGGTGGGTTTACAGAATTTAGAAAAGGGAATGAGACAGAGTCGACAGACCAAGAAACCAGGGCTCAAGTGTGCTGCTCCAATGGTTAAAGTGGGAATCCGTACCCACCCAAGACACAGTCAACCTTACTCCCCACACTTAATTAGCAGATCCTACAAATTTTCCTGTAAGAGGAGTGTTTCACTGCAAATTTAACACTATGCACCAAGTTGCACCTCCCAAAAATAATATAGCTTTGTGGTATCAATTTTTTACCATAGTCTTCAGGGAACCTAAATCAAAATTTGTATTTTCCTTGTTCACTTCTAGTAAAAATAATACATAAAGGACCTGAACTCTTCTTACGGGTCTATAGAAAAAAAATTTAAAGCAGTAAATCATCATTTTTATTGCCGACTAAATACTGATTGGTCTATAATGATATAGAAACTAAAAGCACTATTAAAATGAATTAAGCTACAGCTTCCATGCAAGTCTGACTAGGTATAGGATGACTTAGAAGGATCCTCGTACGTGGTTAATTTTCTAAATCAATATAATATCAATTATTTCAAATACTCCAGGTAAAACAAAGGAACAGATTGTACATGAGACCTCAACAAAGCAATGCAAAAAATTTGTCTCTGCTCAAACATAATCCCAATATGCATACATACACATCTATAGAACTCAGTGTTATTAAAGGCACAAAGCGCACCAAGGCGCTAGAGGTCCAAAAGCGCAAAGCGCGCACCTAAGTGAAGTGAGGCACACAATTGAAAAATTAAACTACCATAAAAACATTCATATCTCATAAGTCATATCAATATTCTAAAATTAATATGAAATATAAAAAAGTAAATCCATCAACTAAACAAGCATCCAACAACCATAAAACAGAGCACAAATTTGTTTTCTTGAAAGGCAAAGCAGAATTTGATTTTTTGAATGGCATATAGATCACAAAAAGAAACAAATCTGCTAACAAAAAAAACAAAAACAAAAAAAAAAAAACTGTTAGCAAGAAAAGAAAAGAAAAAACAAAGCCAAAAAAGAAGAAGATGCAGAGACAGAAGAAGTGGATGAAGAGAGAGAAGTAAACGGGAAGAGGGATAAAGTGTTAAAAAAAAAACACAGCCCCGGCCAAAAAAAAGATTAGGGAGAAGAGAATTAGACGAAGAGAGAGATGTAAACAAAGATAAGACGAGAGGAGTAGAAAAGAAGAGAGGTGAGAAAATTAGAGAAGAAGAAGAAAGAACTGACGTGGCTTCGCCGTTCATCTCTGCAACTAAGGCTTCGTCGTTCGTCTCATGGTCTCATTTTTTCTCTGTTCGGTTGACACTTTGACTCTTTGGCTTTCTTCTTTGTTTATTCTTTTGAACAAAAGTTTCTTCTCTCATACGCTTAGACATTCTTATTTGTTTAATTTTTTGATAAGTGACTTTCTTATTTGTTAATTAAGTTGCTAAAAGCCCTTATTGGCTTAACAAATAAAATAATCATAATTTAAAAAAAAAAAAATTAGTGACAAGGCGCAACCAAGGCACGCGCCTAGTAAACATTGGGATGACAATAGGCGCTAGCGCCTAGGCACGCCTTTAACAACACTGACAGAACTTAATCAAATCAATACTTGATTTACAATGAACAAAGATTATATCTTAAATATTTGATTTCAATTTAGTGGATAGCTATATTTATCATTTAAAAGGCAACAAATTAAAAAAAAAAAAAAAAAAATGCATGATACCATATTAAAATTTCATAAATTGCCCAATATTTTTGGTATTAAAGTTAATAGTTTCTTTTTTGAAAAGGGTTACAAAAACACCCATCGACTTCAGGCCTCTTGGGGAGCTCAAAACTACACATATTGCCATATTCAATTCATGGCACGCTAAACTTATTACCATGCCAGCACTATCATCACTCAATTAGCCAAGACACACCATCGGTCCATCACCTAAGTAACTGTATGTTGCTTGAGCAACTAAGTAACTTGCTGACAGTGATACAAGACTACCACCTTGTTACAGAAACCAATTTCACTTCACATTTATTGGTTTCAAACAAGACTAAGGTACTTGCATAGGATTAATGGATTACGGCTCTGTTCAGTTGATCTGGATGCATATGAACATATATATCCAAAATAGAGTCACAAACTTAATCATATATAGTGAAAAAAAAAAAAAATAATAAATTATATGATTGAACATAACTACAAAGATTGACAAAAGATAAGCTTTCACTTATTTCAATAAATAAATAAAAAATTCAAAAAAAAAATGAAGAAAATTGAGAGATTTGGGATGGTTAAATAACAAAGGAAAATCACTTTCAGATTCAAGCAGAATAACAAACAAAAAATAACACAATGATATATTTCATCATCAAAATTAGAGAAAAAGAGAGATCAATGAACTGGGCTGTTCAATCAATCCAATAGGGTTTGCAAAAATTTTGTCTATGCCCCAAAGATAATCCCAATCATATATATATATATAGAAATTAATCAAATCAATATAACAAAAAATGACAATTTTCATCATCAAAATTAGAGAAAGAGAGATCTGGTGAGAGAAACGAACCGGGAGCCCTAGGGCGCTCGAGCAAGATCTCTTCGGTGGAAACCATGGTGAGCCTAGCGCCGACGTCCTCATGAACGGCGTCGCCGAACTTGGGCCAGGACCGGCGCTCGATAGCACGCTTGCTGAGCCGGGCTTTCGCGAGCTTTCTGACCCGCGTGGTTGTGGTGATCTTGACCTTGTTGCCATCTTCGCTGAACTTATACTCGATCACCTTCTTGATTCCATTCTCGTCGGGTCCGATTACCTGCCGCGGCGGTAGGAGGAAATCCAAATCCTCTCCGTCATCTTCCTCAAGTTCACCCCATCTGACCTTGCTCGGCATCTGCGAACTCGAACCAGGTCTCTCCACCAACGCCATGATTGATTGATGTAGTCGCGTAGGCCTAGTGTGTTTTTGGCTTTCCTTTTTCTAGGGTTTCTGTGATAAGAACATAAGATGAGATTAAATGTGAGGAGGACAGGGAGACTGTTGTTTTGATATTAATAGATGGGTGGGCTAAACAGAACTTTTAATGGGTTCATGGGTTTCAGTTAGTCTCAAATTTGGGCCTGAATAAAAATTTGGGTTGGGCTTATTCCAGGAGACTACATAATAATAATAATGGGTATCAAATAATCATAATGGGTTTCATATAGTGTAATATTTGGGCCTGAAGAGTCCAGTCTCCATGAGTTTGGGTTTGGTCTTGGTTTGGTTAGATTTAAAGTGTAAATTATAATAAAAACGAATCTTAACAGAAAAATAATCCGTTAAAATCATAAAACCCCTCATTTACTTTTAAAATCGTGCATAAAATTTTAGAAGAATTAAAAAACTCTTTAACTGAAAAAATAAAAATTTAGGTTGGGTTTAATCCAGGAGACTACAAAATAATAATAATGGGTTTCATATAGTCTAAATTTGGGCCTGAAGAGTCCAAGCTCCATGAGTTTGGGTTTGGTTTTGGTTTGGTTAAATTTGAAGTGTAAATTATAACAAAAACGAATCTTAACAGAAAAAAAAAATCGGTTAAAATCACAAAAACCCCTATTTACTTTTAAAATAGGAATTAAAATGCTCTTTAACTAAAAAAATTTATCAAGTTACTTCTAAACTCCGATCCATTAAATGGGTTATAAAATGTCAAATTTGATCTCAATATTTAGCATTAAATTAAATATCATAATAATTATTTTAAAATTACAAAATACACATACCTTCTTCCCAAGTACTTTCGAAATACAATCTTGATTTAATAGTTTTTAAGTAAAATTTTTGTAATAGAGCTCACACTCTATATTTACACACATGACAATCGACTAAGATGTATGAGTGAAGACCATATTTCGCAGTCAATTTTCGCAGCATTAGCACAATTCATATAATTAAAGTAGGCAAAGATGGATATAAAGCCTAATAAACTTTTAAGATTGACTGAACACTAACCCTACAATCATTGCATTTACTCCAACCAATCAAATGAAAATAATTATGTAATGAGCACTACAGTACAGTACGGATTGATTTTTTTTTTTTTTTTCAAATTAATTTAAGTTTCCATTGATTTAATTCTTACATTTAAATCATAAAACAGACCAATTCTAATGGTTTCACTTTTATTAAAACAAGAATTTAAAAATTAGTTTGCACCATTACATGATTCAATCATATTGAAAGTTTGAAAGAAATTATGTACCATACATCATAAATGGGCCATAACTAAAAAAAAAAAAGAAAAAAAAAAAAAGCCAATAATCATTTGTCCTAAAATTTTAAGATAAGAACTTAATAATTAGTAAGATTTTCCACCTGTTTTGATGGATATAGTGGAACAACACTGTTATTGACTTCCTTAACTTAAAAAATAAAAAAATAAAAAATAAAAATAACTATTTGATACTTGGTTGCTTTCTGATGATTCAATGTAAAAAGGTAGGGAATCCATTTTATGATAATTAGAGTAGGTAATGATGGGATATAAAGCCTAATAGACTTGAAAGATTGACCAGTTGTTGACACTGCCTTTAATCACTGCATTTACACCTGTCAACCAATTTGATGTGGTTTAAACCAAAAGCTGTGTTGTTCTTAATTTGATTTATTTTCTTGACAATCACACATAAATGAAAGAAGAAAAACAAACGTAGTTGCTTAGTCAATTGATAAATTTTACGTCAAAAGCAATTCAATGTGTGTCAAGTAGTGTACTATTGTCAATTTTTATGAAGATTTATGCAATCATAAATTTAAATTCCGGTGGGTCGTTGGGATAAATGGGATGAAAGGTGCTTAATTGATAATTACGTGCTATGGGTGCATCGAATTTGTATTTTGTATTTGAAAATTTAATTATTTATATATTTTTTAAAAATTTAAAATGATGCTTGCGTAACAAGAATTTTATTAACACGTAAGATTTACTCCATAATACATCTATTTATAATAATAGTAAAGGAATAAAATAAATAAAAGGGAATAACAAATGCAAAATTAGTGAATATTATTAATTATTGAGCTGATTCCATTGAAGAATGAATCTAAGTGGAGTCAAATTACGTGTGTCATAAAAAAGAAAGGAAAAAAAATGATAATATTAAATTTTCATAGCATTTGTATAATTAAGAAGCAAGAAAAGATCAACCGATAAGTAACCCAGCACTATCAAACGCCTACTTTTTAAATAAATATTAGATGCGTGTGTTGGTTAGTACCAACTACGACAAAAAGAAAAACAGAAAAAGGAATATATATATATATATATAGTATAAATCATTCATGGTATATATGAATATAATAGCATAACTGGCAAAAACAATTAGAGGAATTCGATAGTTAAAAAAAAAAAATGGATTAGAACGAGAATTCAAACTCAATCGTTCTGTTAATTCTTCTGTCATTTTTTTCTTTCTTTCCCGCCATTTAAACACTGTTTGATGGGTTAAGCAATCCTTATGTTTTCCTTCCTTTTCTTTCATTCGTCATTTTCAGACCAAACATGACTTAACTTATCCCTCATTTTCTCAATGAAATAGTAATTCACACGCCTCAAAGCCTCAACAAGAACATGTGTGTGTGTATATATACACATATATATAAACATGTGTGTGTATATATACATATATATAAATATGTGCCTGTGTTGCATCATGATGCATGTTACAATGCTGTGCCAAAACAGAATGTGTTGGAAAAGGCCCCCCATTGCACCAACATAATGAGTAGGCCCAAGTTGTCTAGGCTAAAGTGGTTTATGCCTCACGATACATACATGCATACATATATATATATATACATACAGAGATATGGGAAGCGTAGAAAATATAGTTACACCACTCAATCAAAAATTTGAGATAAAGTAATGTTGTACAGAGTAATATTAATTTTGCCATTTTACGCTTTCGAAAATGTCTAAAGGAATATGTATGTTAATAATCTCATAATATAGGGGTGTTACGTGCTCATCAATTATATTTAATCCATTTTTAAAGATCCTCTCACCTTTTCAAAATATATATTTTTTTATCTCTATACATTCCGGCTAACACTATATTATCTCTCTTTAAATAAAATAAAAAAAGGGTGGTTGTCACAATTGTAAATTAATCTACAATATATCATATGCAATGAAAACTTCAGTTCTTTTTATAATTATAAAAATAAAAAATATATATTCCCTATTAAATTTTAATATAGTTATTAGTTTTCATTAAATATATAATTAAAAAATTAAATTAAAGATATTTATTTATTATATATAAACAATATACATTTAATTTTTTAAATTTTAAAATTTGCAATAAATTTTCAAAAATATATATATATAATTCTTTATATAACAACAAATTAGTATTTAATCTTTATGAAAAAAAAAAAAAAAAAGAAAAGAAAAGAAAAAAAGAACAACAACAACACCAACAAACAAAATCATACTATTAAAACCATTCGTGTCAACTGGGTGACATCATTATCATGTCCAACAAAGTCTAAATTATTTTTATTACCAAAAAAACAAAATATACGTATGAAGACACAAAATACTAGTATACATGATTATTTTCATAGGTTCTTTGGTTTGTGAGCAAGAAAAACTGTATAACCTTCCTCATTTTTTTTAAAAAAAAGGAAGGGATTCGAGTTCGGATGTGAACAAAAAAGTGTGTGTGTTTGCTTTACCACCAAAAAGACAAATTGTATAAAGTCGACACATTATGTGATGAAGGGTCCATAAGTCCATTGATGGCAAAATCCGTAGCAGTGAAATCCATCCAGTGAAAGAGCTTTTCCATTTCCAAGAAGCTTCCTCCTTTGTATGTATATATATATATATAGTGAAGCATATACTAATTTGTTCCGTTTGTGATTCTACTGAATAAATTAAAGTTGTACACGTGAAGAATTTTCCTAGCTAGTCGCTCATGTTTTGTTCTTTATAATATTGTTAATGGTGGTTTCTGGTTGTTGAGATCATTGTGCAATGTCATTTGTGTTACTTATGAAATACATAGACAAGACACGATTTGGTGGTGACAGGAGCAAATTATTATAGTAATGTAATACCCAAATGTGCATTAATTATGATCACATTGTTTGGATTTCTCCGAGGGATAGATCCAATTTTCTTGCTTCCATTGTCATTTTCAATTCCTTCTATACAGTTGAGTACTCGCAAGGTTTATGCATTTTCTAATAACGGGAGCTTACCTAAGTCAAAAATAGGCTCCTTCAGAAACTGCTTTACTAGATATTGTCTATTTATGTGTTTACATTATGTAGTCTGCTAGCAGCGATCGCAGTGTAACGGACTCAGACAAAATTAGTATAAACTGACTGACACGGGTTACATATCGAACTTAAAAAATGATAACGTATTAACCAATACGTCGCGTATCAAATGATACGACAAACCATGATTTACATAATGAGAAGACTTTCACGAATAAAAATATCACGATCTTAGACGTACAAGTAAAATGAACTTCTCCAACTGTGTAAATATTGTGTATAATTGTGTAAATATTGTCTATTTTATATTGTGCATAATTGTGTAAATATTATCTATTTTATTTTATACATTTTTCCTGCCGTGAATTTCTCAAATTTTGGAACGCCACTCTCTCCCTACCTATCTCTATAGTCTATATGTGTATATATCTAATGATGTAGCTTTCAACCGGACTCAACAGTCAGACTCCATGTGATTCACATCGTCACTATTAATTTTCCTTAATAGTATATATATATATACACACACATAAAGTATTTGCATATTATTATTTATACACCAGTTAGATTTGCAATTTGGGTCCATTCCCTTTCAGTCTCACTCCTCGAGATCTGAAATATAACAAACCAGACCCTAATATTTTATGCATTCCTCATTAATTCTGATGGAGAAAGATTAACATATTATTGCCGACATTGAGAGACTACCTTATGTTGACTGTTGAAGGCCACTTTAATATGAATTTCTAAACCATCACCGGACCTAATTAGTGGGTATATAAATGGTTGTCATTATTTTTTGCCTTTTTATCTTAAATAAATAGATTCCAACACGTGAAAACGAGTTTAAACAAATAGACTGAGTCACTCCATAACGAATTGAACTTTTTTAAAAATTAGGTATAAGACTTGGTGTATCATCCCCAAAGGTCAAACACACGGATTGGTTAGGTTTTTGGCACGAAAACTTTGGACTCGGGCAACCCTCTTCATCTGGTAAAGTCTGTTAATAACCCAAATGTTCTCAGTTTGCAGCTCCGAATAGAAGAGAGAAAGTAGATGAGTTGACTTTGCTAAGTTGTTAACAAATTGTCAAAAAGAATTTGGTTTAAATCCATAGGTCAAAGCATCTTCATCTCACATTTGGGTCATATTTGGTTGTAATATATGACCAGACTTGTTTATATGCCATTCAAAATACCTGTCCTATATCGGATTCGAATCAAAAGTGAAATGAGTATAAATAAGTGAGTATGCAGTATTACTTAATAATTAAATTTTTAGACACATGAGTAAGTACCAACTTGTTACGGTAGGTATCAAAGCCAAACACAGTCCTTAATTCGTTGTCATGTCAAGTGTCCGGCCTAAAAGGCCTTCAGTTTAAGGATCCGAATGAAAAGTGAAATGAGTATAAATGGCAGCACACTCAATAACTTAAACTTTTGGTTAAATGAGCAAACGTCTATCCATTAAATTAGTCTAGTTGTACAAAATTTAAACAATTTCTTCGAAGAATCTCTCACAGATCCAACTAGGGATGTTAATTTAACCAATCAGGTCGGGACTTCGTCTCGTCCCACACCTATTGGGACGGGTTTGGATCACACCCTAATAGGGCTAGGTACGAGTTTGAAAAGACAATTTAAAATCCGCAAAGTCCCAAACTCACCCATATTAATAATAAATGTATAAATAATTTATTAACTATAGTTTCTATTTTTGGATCACACCCTAATAGGGCTAGGGACGGGTTTGAAAAGACAATTTAAAATCCGCAAAGTCCCAAACTCACCCGTATTAATAATAAATGTATAAATAATTTATTAACTATAGTTTCTATTTTTTCTTCATTTCTTATGATAATTTTTAATTTTTACGATATTTTTTTAGTTTAATTGTTAAATATTTAACTATACTTAATTTATTTTACAAAATTTATCCTACTTTTGTTTAAACTTGAATCAATTTTCTTACAAAATATGCATATTGGGGCATTCTGCCCCGAACCTATCTAACTCCAATATTAGGCAGGACAGAACGAGACGGGACATGACGAACAAATTTGAGAAAAATATTGTCGGTTTAAAATGTTATAAGATAAAAGATTAACAACTAATATGAGAAAGTAGTAATTATTATATTATTTACATGCCCACTTAAAAAAAATTATAGTATAAAAGATTGACAATTAATATGGTACAAGATATTATTATTTGTAATCTAAATATATATACCTATAATACTCACTTGGTCTCATTTTAAGCATACTGTTTTGAAACCTAACCTTTTAAGACGTGATTTTTAATATTTTTTTATAGTATTAACATTTAGTAATAAATAAAATGGGGCCCATGTGATAATATTTTATTTTAATAAGAAGAATAAATTTTGACAACTATTTATTGACCGAAATTAGTAATCTACGACCGTTTAATAATTTTCCTTTAAACACACCCCACCACCTTTCCTTACTAAAATAATAATAAAATAATAAATAATAAATAAATAAAAATGGAGCCCATAGAACTAAAATCCACAGATCCTAGCTGTCACAAATGTAAAAAGTGACTGTATCCATTATCCCCTTCGTCACGCTAATCTAAAGCCAACACTTCTAGAATATCATACTTTTTTATCGTCATCCGGTAAATTAGAAGCTACCTACTCATTCCAAATGCAAAAGGGTTCTCCCATCCGGACGTGAACCGATTTCTTCAGTCCGTAAAAAGGTACTCAATTTATAGTTTGATTTCATATCCGCCAAAGTGCCCCATCGCCATGTTAGTTGTTAAGTTGTTATTATATAAACGTATATTGTGTGTGTATATATATGGTGAAGTTTTGTTCCACCAACGTCCATCCAACACCGCACAAACCCTGACGCTACCGTTGGGGTTAACATACAGGAAAAGCGAGGGAATTTCGGACTCGCTCCGAGTCAGATCATTCAGAACTCGCTGTGACTCGTTCTGCAACTCGCTCCGCCGTTTAGATCGGCTGTGATTTAAGGTAAAATCTCTGTTAATTATATCTTTGATTCCTTCTGGTTCAGAACTCTTATTAGATCTGCGATTTAATTGTATTTCGAATGTGATTTGACCTTTGGGCTTGAAGACGCGTTGTTTGATATGTTTTGAGTGATGTTTTGTAAATCTTGAAAGAACTCTGACAATGTAGATTGTAAACTTATTTTTGGATTTCTTGAAGAATTTTGAGTTTAATCCTCAACAGCAGCACAACTGCACAAGTAATTTGAATGACTTGTCTGTAATCATAGGTCAAATATTGTGAATTTCGAAGCATTTTTAATGGCTTGTTTGGATTTATTGAAGAATTTTGAGCTTAATCCTCAACAGCAGCACAACCGCACAAGTAATTTGAATGTATATTGTATTATCGGATCTGGCTTTAATTAAGCTGCTAAGTTTAGTTGATTTATCTGATATATAGCTGTTGCTTATGATTTGACTCCTTGCTTATGGTTTTATTTATATTACTTCCATTGTTGTTAGATAGAGCAAAATGGGCAAAACAGAGTTCATGTAACCCACCAAACTAAATAGCTAGGAAAAGGGTTTTCGGTGTGGAGATGAGTTGAATATGGTTTATGTCTTTTTTTTAAGTTAAAACTCGACGTCACAAAAAAATTTGCATTTCTTCATTCATCTGATCGAATTAGAGCTCTTGTTGTTTGGTATCTTTTACTCTTACCAATTTGGTAGGTGAAATTGGTTGCTACTAATTTGAATCATACTGGAGTAATTTGAAGTGGCAAAACAAATTTAGCATGGCCGTCCTTGATGTAAGATATAAGATTTAATTGATATGAGTTTCATGGTGTCTATTTCATTTGGCATTTGGAAATATGCTTTTTGTGGAGAGTACTGGTAAAAAAAATTTGGAACGAAGTTACTGCTTTTAAACTAGTGTTATGATTTTGACATTTATAGCTTCTTACTTTTTCTATGGAGTAATGCTATCCAGAGGTTCTGCTCTTGACACCATGAGCTCTCTTTGTGGACCATGTGGTATTTTCATTTGGTGATTCTGACAATCACTTGCATGTGTTCTGACTCTATTTATGAAAAATAAACCAATAAAGAAAGTCTCTCTCTCCCTGACATTTCAATTAGTATATACCATCTGCTACCTAAGTAGTAGTTAACTTTCAACTTGATTATGGTAAAGTCTCTATATACTTTATGCAGTAAGCCGCCATAAAATTTAATGGAATTGTCGTTCCCATCAAAACCTCCATCATGTGGTATAGCTGGAATTGTTTCCTTATAGCAGCTAATCTAGTTGGACTGATTCCCTGATTGTTTTAACATATGAGTCACTCCATGACAAGTATTTCGAGTCTTTTGGCCGTTTCCTTTGAGCCTGGATTTATCTTTGGAGGGTCCTTTTTCTCTGCACTACTGTTTAGACAGGTGTTCCTTCCTTCCTCTTCCTTGCATCTCGAGAATTCGTCTCAGTTCCAATATAACACCCGTCAGTTAAGGACAGAGAACTTTCCTTCTGGAGAAGAGTGTGAGCTAATTTATCATTTTTTCCCAATCTATAAATGTCTATGCATAGTAGTCTTGTAGGAGTCCGTCCTCCTTCCTTTTGGCAAGGATAATTATGAACACGGTGGAGATCTGTCAGTAGCAATATATTAATTGCATCGCCATGTTAGTTTGTGATTAATTTCTGCTTGGATTTTGACTGTTTAATCAACAGGATAAGCAGGCATCCCACAATGAAGGCCTTAATTCTCGTCGGAGGATTTGGAACTCGGTTGAGGCCGTTGACACTGAGTGTTCCTAAACCACTTGTTGAATTTGCTAACAAACCCATGATCCTGCATCAGGTATAAATTATTGTTAGCATGTCTATCTTTAAGTTTTAATGTACAGATAGATAAATTGGAAGTATGTTTCTTGATTGACTGACTTCTCTATATGTGCTTTAAATCTTTAATATTATATTATTGAAATACAGAATACATGCATGAAATTTCCTTATAATTTTTGTTTTCCTTTATTATTATATATTTTTTAAAAATTATTTTCATCTTTGAGATCTATGATTGCGAAACAAGTTTCTAAATTTCAAGGTCTCAGGATGTTTTGTTGTCAATTTTGATTTCTTGAATTTTAATGTTCAATATTGATTTCTGTTTGAAAGGGGGAGTTATTTCTTGATTTAAAAAATCACAATATTTTCTAATTTGTTTTGAATATCCCACACATCATGATACCTGTAATCAACTTCTATCTAAAGCAAAATCATTGTAGTATGAACATTCTTATACAGCATGATCCCTGTTCTGATTGTTGTAGGGTTTGTGCTCTCTGTATGTTTGTGTGTAATAATCATGGGTAATGATCTATCTTTTTTTTATTATGACAGATTGAGGCTCTTAAGGCTATTGGAGTGACCGAAGTGGTTCTGGCTATCAATTACCAACCAGAGGTAAAAACTTGGGTCCATTCTTAATTATTACAAAGTTTGTTCGTTGTCCAGACGTTATTGATGCAGCTGTATATTGGAGAATCACTTGTGCAAAAAACAATTGTTTCTACAGGTGATGCTGAACTTCTTAAAGGAATTTGAGGCAAAGCTTGGGATTAAGATAACATGTTCACAAGAGACTGAACCACTTGGCACTGCTGGTCCTCTGGCACTTGCTAGGGATAAACTGATTGATGACTCCGGTGAGCCATTTTTTGTTCTTAACAGTGATGTTATCAGTGAGTACCCCCTCAAACAGATGATTGATTTCCACAAATCCCATGGAGGCGAGGCTTCCATTATGGTAACCAAGGTAAACTTGAATCTGATTATTTTTTATTTTAGATTATTCTTGAGTTTTGACTTATTTGGAGGCATTTTTTTGGAACTTCTAGATCTAAATTCGTTTGCTGATTGATATAGGTGGATGAGCCATCAAAATATGGTGTGGTTGTCATGGAAGAAGCAACTGGGCAAGTTGAGAAATTTGTTGAAAAGCCAAAATTATTCGTCGGCAACAAGATCAATGCAGGGATGTACCTGCTGAACCCATCTGTTCTTGATCGAATTGAATTGAGGCCCACCTCAATTGAGAAGGAAGTCTTCCCGAAAATTGCAGCAGAGAAAAAGCTCTATGCTATGGTTCTACCAGGGTTTTGGATGGACATTGGACAGCCAAGGGATTATATCACTGGCCTGAGACTCTACCTAAGCTCCTTGAGAAAGAACTCTCCATCTAAGTTGGTTACTGGACCACATATCGTTGGAAATGTTCTGGTTGATGAGAGTGCTAAAATTGGAGAAGGATGTTTGATTGGGCCTGATGTTGCAATAGGACCAGGTTGCGTGGTTGAGTCAGGAGTAAGACTCTCCCGATGCACAGTAATGCGTGGTGTCCGCGTCAAGAAACATGCGTGCATCTCCAATAGTATTATTGGCTGGCACTCCACGGTTGGGCAATGGGCTCGTGTGGAGAACATGACCATTCTCGGAGAAGATGTTCATGTCTGTGATGAAATTTACAGCAATGGGGGTGTGGTTCTGCCCCACAAGGAGATCAAATCCAGCATTTTGAAGCCAGAGATAGTAATGTGAAGGTATGGTGTTAAGTAAGAGTCTTTTTTAATGAAGTACTAAGTTACAGTGTTTGAAGATTGTGCGTTTTGTTCTTTATCCTTGCTTTTAGTTTTTCCTCCTCCACAAGTGTAAAAGTCAGTTTCAATAACTTACTGAGTGATGTGAGTTATAATTCTGCAGCATCAGGTGTCTGTTATGAAGGTCGTATAAAAATATATGATCATCAGTGTGAGCTTTGTAATTTTTAGTGTATATAGAAATAAATTGTCAGTCGTTTTCTCTCCATTCTGGATGAATTTATGTGTTTGTGTCCATATATATATATAGGTATGTATATGAATGGTTAATGTGTTGTCGTCAATGTTGGTCCCGATGTGTAATGATAGGAAACCCTGTATGGCGTCTGCAGTTTTTCTTTGTTGGACCTACAGATTTCATGAAAGTGATTCTCTCCTTGGACATGTTAGCCATCCATTAAGGATGGTGGATTCAAACAGTTATTTTCCATTTCATGCACCTCATGAGCGAGCAAGCAAATATTATCCCATGTTCGTGCGAATGTGTAGAATTAAATCACATAAAGCAGAAGCGAGAGCGAATTCGAGAGCAAAAGCATGAGAGTTGTATAATTAAATCATAAATAGTGAGAATTTGAGCCAAAACACGTGCTCGGAGCGTGTTAGCGACACCCGTTAAGAAAGATTATGTGACTCAAGAGTAGTAAGCAATCTAGTTACGGTACATATGGTAATGCTAATGCTACATCCTAGATACGAATTGTAGAGGGTGTTTGTTCATTTGGTTGCCATCCATCCATTTGGGTCACAATTTTATATTGCATTTGGGTTGAGAGGAGGACGGACGCGGACGCATCATCCACAGTCCAGATGCGTCCGTAGCATAGTGCAACGGGTGCACCTAAGGAGCCCAAATCCTCAATTGTAAATTTTACTGCCATCATTACTAACATTATTTTTCAAACGTAGATATAATGTATTGAAACATGTAACTATGTTAAAAAATATATGTAATACTACTCCAAGTTGAAAACACAGAGCTAAAAGCGTTCACTAATCCGAGCTCCTTTCAAACATAGTTACTTTTGAAAGTGTCGGTCACTCTCTCTATGTTACTTTTGAAAGTGTCGGCCAATCTCTCTCTCTCATCGTTTCTGTTACCTTATGAACAGGCTCTGTACTGGCCCAGACCCCTGTACCTTAGTTGTCATAGACATGGACATTAAAGTAATCATCCATCCATCCTCCATAACCAAATTCTACCGCATTACATCAGTTTATTATCTACCGCATTTATTAATGTTTACTTATACAACAATATATATATATATGCTATCATATATAAAGTTATATAGATATATATACGGCGAAAGCTATCCTCTCCACTTTTTGTTGAAAGAACAAGTTTGTCTCCGTGGAATTGAAGAAGTTAACTTTCCCACGTATATATATATATATATATATATATATATATATATATATATTGTTTTTAAGTACACATGGAACCACCCCTTTTTTACTTCTTGATTATCCAAATGCAATGATTATTCTCTTTTCTTTTCTTTTTTTTATTCCCTTTTAAAAACTTAAGTTATTCTGATTTTATTTCCCTTCTCAATATATATTTCCCTCCTACTTATTAAAATGCACTACAGCGCTGGTGAAAGGAATAGAAAGAGGAAGAACAAATTATTTAGATGTTACACACACATTAGTACATTACACCTCATTTTCAACAAAATGCATCTTTTTTTAAACTTAATAATGTGCAACGCATTACATCTGTTTTTCACTGAAAGACTCTACTGAGACAAAGATGGGCTGTCAAGAACGTAGAGGAGGTAGGATGAGCAGTTGGTCAGATCTAGTATGGATCGTACATGGACGGTAGTTGGAGTCGAGGGCTCTCCTAGGGTTCCCTCATCTGGGATCCCTGGGGAAGAGGATCAAACACATTACATTTGAATTAAGTAATTTTTAACGCATGACATCTGTTTTTCAATACATTACATTTGAATTAAAAAAGTTCAGCAGAGAATCCACAATCTTAACTCAATTTGGTACAAAATGGTGTAGCAATCATTATTTCGCTTTTCGGTCAATTACAAAGCAAATTTTAGAACCAGGAACTGAAGAAGTTTCAATTGCAACAAAAGGCTCAATTTACATTGGCATGCACAATGAGTGTTAGATTAGGCTAATTAACAAAATTAACATCAACCAACCACAAATGAACAATTTTCGTACTCACCGAAATTATGTTCTCTCATAATTTTGCAGATTCTAATTATAAACATATGCTCTCTTCTCCTGACTCCATGGAAATTGTTGCTTACAACATATGAAGCAACAAACTTCTCTCTTCTGCGAAGTAGAAGCAGTGTTTTTTAATAGGGAAAACACCACCGGAGATATAATAAAACATGCATTCGTTCACACAGGTTTTGCTAAACTTTCTAATCTTGATTAAGAAAGAAGACGAGAATCGCAGAACTAGAAAGAAAAGATAAATGCTCTCGGTTGATTTGTTATCTAGTTGAGAACTTGTACTCATTTTGCTATAATAAAACTGCATGGAAATATCTTGCAAATGTAGTTGATATGGTGAAATCACATTAATCAAGAGTTGCTTATTCGGCAGTTGAATTCAATCATGTAATGTGTTATATTTCTTTTATTTTTCTTAACCCTTAAATTGAAGGAACAAGGGAGGTCAAACGGGGCATAAAATAACACCTCCAAAACAAGGCCCAAAAGAAAATGTCACCAAGAGGGGGGAACAAAAAGAATTGAACTAATTTCATTAAATGTCTCAGAGATAACCATATTAGTAGTGCTGTAAGGAGTATTCGTAGTGAGGGTGTAGTGGTGTGGATGATGAATTTATTCAAATTGAAGCCAAAATCCAAAACATGACACAAGAAGATATTGCAAGGAGGAACCACGAGACGAAAGCAAAAGCGGTGGAAATTTGGAACATACTGCATGAGAGTTGCGGCTGGTCCCTGCAAAAATTCGTGTCTCTTACTAACAAAACCATCACCCCAGCCGATGAGCATGCAGCTGCAAGGGATAAAATAGACGTCACCTGCATTATAAAAAAACAAAAAATAATGTGATGTATAATTCACGTCAAGAGAATAGACAATTATAGTAGAAAATGAGGATTCTCGGCTGGGAAAATGAGGATTCTCAGATGGAAAAACCAAACACTATGCAGGACCATGTAGCTACAGTATCAAACTCTATATCCATTCATCCCTATAGCAACATATTTACTGATAACAAGCTTGTAAGCAATTCTTTTGGTAATTCCAACCATCTGAACATGACAACCCTCAGCAAAATGAAATTACATTTCTTAAAAGTTCACATGGGCAAGAAGCTAGCCCGCCCGCTGGCTACATCACACCCATGCTGACCTGATTTTGGTAAATATTCAACACGGAAGCATTCATAATTGAGGAATGAACTCAATAAAACATCATTATTATGTTTTGTCATCATTGAAGTCCATTGGATTAATTTGGATATTTTGCCTATAATTCAGGAATTTCTCCCATACATAACATCCTAGATCAGGAGGGCAAGGTAGGTCTTAGCGCAACAGTAATGTTGCTCCATTGTGACCTGGAGGTCACAGGTTTGAAACGAGAAACAGTCACTCCGTATGTGAAAGTAAGGCTGCGTATATCTGCCAGACCCCACAGTGACAGAAGTCTCGTGCATTGAGCTACCCTTTTTTTATGTAACATCCTATAGCAGTCAACAATGTTACTGCATAGTAAGCAACTAAGTTGGGCTCAATACAAAATGAAAATATATATATATATATATACAAGAAGTCATATATCCAGAAACTTTTTTGTGTTCAAAGTTTCGAAAAAGTTTGTAGCAAATAACAGATGAATACAGAGGAATCAATGATGTTAGAGATACAACACTCTAGATGAAAAATTAATCACTGCTTCATCATAAGTATGATTAAGACATTATGAAGAAAGTTTCTCTGACCCATGGAGCACTTTTGACCAAATGTTCAATTTTAAAGCACTTCCAAACGTGCAGATAGATATATATATATAGAGAGAGAGAGAGAGAGAGAGTCATGAAACAAAAACTAAGTCTCGATTTGTTCAATCCTACATGGATAATCTTGCATCAAAGCTCACTTTAACTCCAACATCTATTTGTGTGTGTATTAAGGGGGTGGAAGTGAAGAAGAGGAAAACCTGTGAACAGTCTCTCTAATGGATATGCCCCCCCCCCCCCCCCCCGGCGGGCGCCAAATACACACACACACACTCCAATGAAACCATGGGCACAACCTATATTTTTGCTTTACTTGCGTCATTCAAATGGCATAAACACCAGCACAACAAAATACACGTAGCATAACCCCAATGCGACTTCTTGTAGCGACTTAAAACAGAATAATTTTACCACTCAAACATTATGTACTGTTTGACATAGTTCAAAATTAGGTACTAGATGCCCAAACATTAGAATGCAATTACCCATAAGATGCAAAAGGGAATGGATACATATTTCTATGAGATAATTTAATAGGGTTGCCCAAACCATTCTTCAAGTCATTTAAATTAAAAATATATATTTAGTTTCTCATTGTTTACATGTCTCTAAAAGGTGGAGGTGCAGCAGACATTAATAGCATTTACAGGTGATAGGGTTAAGTTGTGAAATGATAGTGTTACACATACGATGATGGAGATCTTAGGTGGTTAAGCTTGGGTGAAAACCGAGGCAGCCTTAGGAAGAAAGAGAGAGTGATGGTGATGGAGAGAACCAGGAGAGAATCAGAAATCCCTGAGGTCAGCACTTTCTTCTGTCCCTTCTAGTGGTGTTCCAAGAGTGCTTTCTTGTTGAAAATGGGTTAGAGGTAATAGGGGTGACAACAGATCGGATCGGTTTAGACATTAAACCTAAACAAATTCGATCCCCGTGGATTGATGTAAATTGAATCTGATCCGATGGAAGTTTTAATCCGACCCGACATGTAAAATATCGGATTGGTTCTACGGATTAGCCTTTTCTAAACAGTCCAATAAATTTTTTTCTTGACCACGGCCCAAGAGATGAATTATCAATTTATCAAAGGGAAAATTTAACATACAACAACTTATATTGGATACGTTACAAATACGACCGTATCCAAAAAGAATGGATGAAAAATAATGACAACTCAACATAAATGTATTACAAAAGTGACACTTTAAACCAGATGTATTACTCCCTCTGTCCCAAAATAAGTGTCATGCTTTCCTTTTTTGTCTGTCCCAAAATAATAGTCCACTTTCCTTTTTCAAGCAATATATTTCACACATTTCCATATATGTCCTTTGAGTTTAAAACTTCAAACTTGAATATTCAAAACTTAAAAGGGCAAGATAGTAATTTTCCAGGTAGACAATGCATGTCCCACATGTCCCCTTACAAATTATCACTTTCCATAAGCGACACTTAAATTGGGACGGAGGGAGTACAAAATATGACAACTTTACACTAGTATACACCTATATTACTTATCAAAAAAAGAATAATAATAAATTGACAAACACCTATATATTTTGGGTCCAAATTACCCCTCACCAATAGTTTTAATCCCCTTTCTAAAAAGACTCATGAACCACCAACACCACCATCCACCTACCACACACCATTTTTTCCGGTGACTTTTGGTGGTTTTGGATCCTCATCCTCTCTCCTTCCACCTCACCCCCTCTCTCTCCTTTTTTTTTCTCTCACTTTCCTCTAAGAAATAATATATGTGTGTGTGTGTGTGTGTGTGAAATATATATATATATATATATATATATATATATATAGGTTTTGATTTTGGGTGTTTTTTTTCACCGAATATATATATATATATGGGTTTTGATTTTGGGTGTCAATCTATGGGTTTTGGCGGTAAGCGGCGGTGATGGTGATGGATGGTGGTGACAGTGGTGCCTATATATCTCTCTCTCTCTGAACCAAAACCCCCTAACACAACATCGACCACCAAACCCTCCTAAGACATCGTTGTGGCGGGGGTTCCAGATAGCGGAGTAGACGCAGTAGGCGTGTTCCTTGAAGGTACGGACGCTGATGGGGAAGTCAACAGGCTAAAACTTGATGGTGTCGTCCCAGGAGGAGGAGGAGAGGAAGGAATCGCAGCGTACTTGGTTGTAATCGGCGGATGGACCTCGCGGGTGTGCTCGTGGAGGGAGCGAATTGGATTGGAGGAGGGTGGGAGAGAGAGGTCGTAGATCTTGAGGGAACCGTCGGTGAGTCAAGGGTGGCAATTCGTGTTAGCGGGTCATAATCATGTCGTGTCGACCTAAGGGTATTCTACTAAACAGCTCAACCAGAACACAACCAGTTTAATAATCCTGTCAGGAGAACTCTCAACGCTAACACGACCTGTTTATTAAACAGGCTACACATGCAACCCGTTTAATAACTTATTTACAAAAAATATATATATATATATATATATATATATATATATATTATTTTTATTTTATTAATAATACTCAATAAATACTAGAAAAATATAAGTTTTAATCCAACCAAATTACTAAATAGTCTCTGGTTTACAAAAGAGTAAATTATTAGACACAATTCTATATAGTAATTTTGGAACTTAAATAGAAATTTATTTATGACACGTATAATTAAACGTGTATAAATGGGTTACACAAGTTGAACCCCTCAACCCAAACACGCCATGATTAACTAAACGAGTTAATCGTGTCGACCCTTTACGACCCAAACCCGTTTAAGGTCAACCCAAATCCGTTTAACTCGTGTCGTATTAGCGAGCCGTGTCAAAATTTGTCACCCCTATCGGCGACGAGGAGGGAGTCGCGGGACTTAGACCAAGCGAGGTCGTAGACGCCGTCGGCGGTGTCAAAGGAGGCAAATGGGAGATGAGCCCAGAGGGGGAGAGGTTGAGGACGTGGAGGCAGCCGTTGCCGAGGATGCCGAAGTTTTGAGAGGTGGCGACGGCGAGGCGGTGCTCGTAGAAGAGGCTGAACTTGACAGAGTAGCCATTGAAGGGGGTTTTGAAGAATGGCATTATTGATTGATTATTGTATTGTATTTTGTTTCTAGGGTTTTGGATTTGGGGATATCCAATTGGAGTGGTGGACGGCGGCGGTGGGGTTGTTAGCCAGACAGCGGAAAATGAGGGCGATGCCGCCATGAAAATGGAGGTGGGTGGCGGTGATGGTATGGTAGATGGTGGTCATGGGCGGGTGGGTGGATTGCTGTATAGTATCAGCGGAAAATGAGGGCGATGCCGCCATGAAAATGGAGGTGGGTGGCGGTGATGGTATGGTAGATGGTGGTCATGGGCGGGTGGGTGGATTGCTGTATAGTATAGTATAGAGAGAGAGAGAAAGAGGAGGTGGATGGAAAATTTAAAAGTAATGACAGTAATTTGGACAAAAAGAGTGTAATTCCTTGTTTGATAATTAATTTAGTTAGTAGCTCTTTTGCCCACATACTATTTGAATACGGTTGTATTTTAAATGTATGAGACTTAACTTGTCGTATTTTAAATTTTCCCTTTATCAAACATGAGTTCACATATTTAAAAGTAACAATAAAAAGGAATCAACACCCAATAATCATTGATAACTTCAACATGCAGTAACCAAAACATTAGCCTCACATCATTATAACTATTTTTATTTTTTTTTGATAAGTATTATTATAACTAATTTAAAAGAGATTCGAATTGGAAATAAAAATCTTATTATATTTGTATTTATTAAAGGGGGTGGGGGGTGGGCCGTGGGTTTACGTTTAGGGTTATAAAACATACTATACATATATAAATATAGTATTTGTATATATTATTTTATTAATGGACCGGATAGGATTTTTAAGACCATAATCCGCAAACCAATCTGATCCCTATGGATTTCTATTTTATGCATCTGCCACCAAACCGGTGGGCTAAAAAACCTATCCAATCCGAAAAGACTGGATCGGATCGGATCGGATTCCCGGATCAAATGAACACTCCTATCTCCTAATTATAATTGCACCCAAAGTGTAGAGGACATATGGCAATCTGAAGTGCACGTACAAGACATGGCTAAATGGAGATGCTGCCAAAACCTAGGAGAATATCCATAGCAAAGTGGAACATGTCAAGCGTAACATGTGGCTAACGTGTGTATCAAAGGATTTGTGATGTCTCTCTCTTCCCCTAAGACCGACCAAGATGCAGAGAAAATGCAGCATTAGCAACCCTTAAGTTCCCAGAACGGAGAGCAGCACAATACTCAAATTCCATCAAGGCCGAACATCAAGCTCAAAGAGCCCTTGAGCTCTGGTCCCCACCCAAGCTAAGGGTGTATACATGCTGAAATAGCTTTGATGGGGTAAGGTGATGCATAACAGGATGGAGCAGACTGGTTGAGGAGATAGCCAAACCAAAAATGCACAATGGGAGATTACGCAGTTTAGGATATGGCTTTGTCAAGAACTTAGGTCAAGGAAATGTGTGTTAACTAGGAGACCAACAAAAGTTATCTGAGGTGGATTGCATAATCGAGATACTATACATGCTAGCCCGAGATAGTCACACGACAGTCAACAAATGAAGTATCACACTGTGGGGTGGTGGCACACTAGTATGATTGGTCATACTATGTGATCCGCTAGCATGGAGACACTACTTAGTGGGGTGTGCCATGGGTTTTTGGGGTTCGGTAGCCACGTTTCAACCTTCTGCCTGTGCCACTTAATCATTAAGCATGTGTCCATATCATGAGAGAAATAAATTCTTAGCTACCATAAATGCACGTTACCTCAAATGACAGTTGTGTTTATTCAAGCACATCTATTAATTGTCGATCCCTCACTGCTCACAAAAAGCTGTTTCGTCTATCGAAGCTACTTTTCAAGGTATGTCATAACGATCCCTTGTATATAAAAAGTACATAGGCAAATTTCTATTTAACTTGCAAACTTCAAACAGTAAAAGAAAAAAATATATATCCCTGTTTGATCTTGTAGTAGAATGGAGGCAGGTCCCAAAGGCAAAGTCTGAACATGAACATAACAATTTGTGGAAACCATGGAGCCTTTGCAGGTCCCTTTGTTGGTTGAGCCTGAAGACGAGTTTGAGAGCGCAGGTAGAATTGAGCCTAGCTGTGTTTTCTGCTTTGTGGTAGAACATGGTAATTATCCTCACTCTTCCATCGGTTTGACAATCATGTATTCCCTTGTTTGGACTCACAAAAACCCACGCAAAAAAGACTTCAAGAATAAGCTAAAAGACGCTGGGTTACTTGCCGCAACAGAAAACTCAAATAAGCTTTCTATTCAGTAAGACAACGTGTAGCTGTAGAATTTAATCTCGGGATGGAGCCCAACCCCACATACAATTGTTAGTATGTGGGGAGAGTTCACTCCAAATATGTTTGAAGACATTTTGCTGCCTCTAAGACAACTGAGTGTTAGGCGAGATTTACATTTTTGGTCATGCTTACAATGAGGAGGAAACTTCAGCAGTACTTGCAAAAATACAACACTGTGACTGTGAATGTAGGGTCTTGGTTTGTTGCAAGAGGCAAAATACTGGTGAATCCTCTTTGAGGTGCAAAGAAGAGCACCTATGTTGGTTGGATGCCCATTGGTTATGGGGTTCCAACCACTGCTGGAAGGAGCAAAATAGGAGAACACGATTTCAATACAAGGCCCAAAGATTTGAGAATGGACGCAACCCCATGGCTTGGCTATGGATGTACATCTTCGAAAGTGCCCCAAGGGGTGTACCTGGCGTAATGGTGTTCCCACTGGCAATGATGCTAGAGCAGGGAGACTCAGTTCCTTAGCCCCTTCTTTATTGGGCTTGATGTCAAAATGCTTCGACATGGAGCAATCTAATGGCAATTATGGCATACATTCACACTCCATCTTTCTAGACTTTGATACAAGGAAAGACAGATTTTGTACCTTTGAAAAGTGGTCCTGAACAATTTTAGTTTCAAGAAATAAGTTAAGTCATGATGATCGACGAGTTGGAACCGGTTTATAACAGTCCTTCCTTTTTTTTTCTTGGACTTTTTGTATTCATAGCTCGACATGCTTCGTGAAGACAATTTATACATTTCTATGACATCGCAACCTACCTCTGCACTCCCTTGTTGTGGATGTTTATATACGAATATTTTACTATGTATGTTCTTGTCTCTCACACTCTTCCTTGAAAAAAGGCTTACTCAGTCATTCTGGGGATGGTCATATTAGTGAGGCAACCAACGAATCAAAAGGAGTTTTAACCAAATCCCTAAGTCAACATGATTGTGATGTTGCTGGAATACTATTGTACTTTGAAGTTTGAAGATAGGGTACTGATCAACACCAGAATTGAGGAGACTATCAACATTCAACAACCAACCATGCGCTGGTTCATGATATCATCAAAATTGGTTATATTAAAAAATAAACGAGGATGGTGGCTTACTGTGTTCTACCAACCTTAAAGAGTGGCAAGGCAATTAGGCCTTGACCAAGGGGCCCTTGTTAATTTGTACATGCTCTAGGGACAGTGTATTGAAGTAATGTTTTCGAAGTCTTTTTTTATGTGGAGATGGATACCTGTGAGAGAACCACAAAGACAGCTTAATCAAGAGTCGAAGTTATATCTGTGTAATAACTTAGATTCCTTAATTTCCGTTGTGGTTCAGCTACAAGCGGGGGCAAGGAGTGTTTACCAAAAAGACAGGTCCCTCAGAATATCGAAGGCAAATTGGGGGCCGAATACTCAAGGAACTTCTTGGACCTTGTTCCCAACCCAAAGTGGCATAAGATACATCAGGGTGCACGTTTGCACTCAAGTGGCTATGTTGGAACGAGATTGTGCAAAGGGGATGGTGAAGACAAGTTCTGAAGCTAACCAAACTAATAATGTATGGTAGGAGATCGCATTGTTTAGGAGATGAATCCATTGCTGATTTTGAAGTACGGTAACCCCACTATTACCCTGTGTCAAAATCTAAGGTCAACAAATTGTATATGTTGACTAAGGGACCAGCTTAATTCAACTGAGGTGGAGTACATAATGAAGATGCAGCATATGTTAGTTGAGGATATCCATGTGCCAATAAGTGAACAGAAAATCGCATTGCGTAACACAACGTGTAGCAAAGCATGGTCATCTCACGTGGCCTTCCAGCAGGAATCCACATCTAGTAGTAGAGTGTGCCATGACCTATTATATTATGAAGACATATGACGTATTAATGTATTATAATATGAAGACACATGACGTAGTAGACTGCTAGCATAGAGACATTATTTGTTTCCCAGAGTATCATACTATGATGTGCCCTGTATGGAGCTCGATTACGGTCTAGGCCATTAATTAGTGCTGCTCCACCAATCGGAGGTGTTGGGTGTGGTGCTTAAGTATTTTAGTAGCAGTCTTGGTATGTATATCGAATAATCTCTAATTTTTCAACATAGTTTTAACTTCAAATCAATATAATTAGAGAAGAAAGCAGAGTATGTGAGAGACACACAAAGAGGGGAAGAGACAGAGAGAGACAAAGATTCTTGTTTCATATGAAGAGGGTGGATAAGACCAATTAAGTTTATTCTCCTCTCCCCTCTGATATTTCTCATTTTTCCCCATTTGAGACCTCTCCCTCTCCTCGTTTGATTGTATCTTCATGCGTATAAACCATGCAATACTTTCATGTGGAAAAATATAGATATTACACAAGAGACACTTCAAAAGAATTATCTGTAGAAAGAATTTGAGGGGAAGAGACAGAGAGAGACAAAGATTCTTGTTTCATATGAAGAGGGTGGATAAGACCAATTAAGTTTATTCTCCTCTCCCCTCTGATATTTCTCATTTTTCCCCATTTGAGACCTCTCCCTCTCCTCGTTTGATTGTATCTTCATGCGTATAAACCATGCAATACTTTCATGTGGAAAAATATAGATATTACACAAGAGACACTTCAAAAGAATTATCTGTAGAAAGAATTTGCAGCAAATTGATAAACAAAAAAGTGATTCCCTTCAGAAAGAGAGACCTCCCAGTACGAGTAACGAGCATGGTAGAAACAAAGATACACAAATGGAAAGGGCATCATCTGCTTTCATTTTGATAATATTTTAATCCCTTAAAATAGGTGACCAAACAAAGTTTACAAGGAGAATTAATTACCCAATCACCAACAACGAACAGGCTCATAAGGACATGAGTTTGCAGGCCTCTCCTTTTCCTCAATGCATGTATATCAAGGCATGCAAGTGCAAAACTCCACAGAAATTGAAGCCCCATCGACGCAATTAAATAGCTGAAACCAAATTTAGTATAGCAATTAGAACATGTACATTATAGAGAAGCAATGAAGCCTTGTTAGACCTGTTATAGATAAAATCATCAGAAAATAAATCTTTACATGATAAAACCAACAAGATCGCAGGATTATCATTTTAAGCATCACATGAGTAGCAAAGGGAGCCCTATTAGCAGGCATGAACTGCACACACCAACATACACACAAGGCACTCACAGGTACACACCACTTCCGCACTAGCACCCAACATACACCCCAGAAACCAGAACTTTCTTGGCTAAAAGGTTTTTTTCCTAGATTCAGGTTAAAGACCAAAGAAAATTAAGTCAGAAAATAAATATATTGCTTTAAAAAGAGTTAAGAGCAATAGGACAAGTAAAAGAGCAAAGAAATATAACTAAGCATTTCCATGTAGGATATTAGAAGCGAAAAAATTCCCGCCTGCAAACCACCCCCCCCCCCCCCCCCCCCCCCCCCCAACAACTATTAGAAGTGCAATTAAATAACATAGTTTGAACGTTTCTAATCTAACTACTATATACAGCCAACTCTTCTTTTCACGTTCCCCATATTATTCCTATAATGGCCATGGTCCTCATCTTAAAATAAAAATAATGAGCTAATTTCACATAACTCAAATTGTCTCTGCAAAAGAAATTGAACCGATAGTTGCAATATATACATATATATATATATATGTATGTATGTATGTATGTATGTATATAGAGAGAGATGTTGTGTCAGACAAGGTGAAGTGCAAAGTGCTTGTTATTCCTCAAGCAGGAAATTAGAAGCCAGTCTCACTAAATAAAAAATTCTAACTCGCCCTTTGATACTGTTTGGATAGATATTAACTACTTAATGGTAAAATTGAAAATTTTGAAGATTGAAGAAGATAAATCTAGGAACAGCTTGAGAAGGATAAAGCGGAATGAACAAGTTAGATATGAAATTTTCCATTATTGGACTGGAAAAAGTGGTTCTGATTGTAGAATTTAGGAGGATACAACAAAGGATGGAATTCAACCTCAAACTTGCCTTGTCATGTCCGAATCCCCTGAACTCAAGGTGAAATTCTACATTTACTGAATTATACACCACCGTTTGTTGACCTGATAAAAATAGTGTTCATAAGCCAAACACATGACGACTAGTTATTCTGATTTTTAGGGAACGCTTGATTGACATGTATGGATCTTTAACAAGACAATAAGTTCTTTCAAGACACAAGGGCCTCTAGACTGTGATATAAATAAAAAAAACCAATTTGCGAATGGGGAAAACCTATTTGATCACCATTTGATTGGGATATCCACACTACAGTGACAAAGGCATAAACATGACATATGTTGATAAGATTGCTACGGCTATAATCATGGATTGGTCATAGGTTGGTACGATTATGAATTGACTGCTATGGTTTTGTATTCACATTCTTCTTAGACAGGGTAAAGGTTCTAGGGTGTTGATCATCAATCGTGCAAATTTTGTTTACAAAATAGAGCAAACATGCAGACTAGGTGATTACTGGAACTTTGGGCAAGCATTTGTCAATGGGTTTTGCCCGAGTGCGTATATTGCCCAATATAAATTTTCAGACCATTGGGATTCATTCAAACACTTTGTAATCAATAAAGACTTGAACACGTACACCGTGGTTTATCCTATCACTTTCTTACGATGGTTTCAGCCTAAGTCAGGTGGCCTCTTATGTTGATGTATTACAAGTAACGTTATAAATCTATTCCTCAAAATTTAATCTGATACTTCAGGACAGCCAATTTCCTTTGTGGTTGACAAGGCACACACACACACACACACAATCACCCCTTTATGGGGATTTAAACCCTGAACCTTCAACTTGGAAAGCAGAGAATATACCATTTGAGCTAAGCTCTTAGCGATCAACCATTTCAATTTGATAATCCAACTAATTCCAAGAATTCTCAATTTTTTCACTTACCAAACTTAAAAACCAACAATAATATTGAAATCAGATAACTAAAACAAGCAGTTAGACTTAGAGGAAATCAAATTCTGAACTCAAGAGTGCAGTCATAAAGCAACCTAGTGGCATTTTCATGAATCCAATCATCCGTTTGCTTGCAGTATACAATTCTAGTAAACTGCACAAGTTTCCTGCTTGATACTGAGAAGTGAGGAATCCTCCCTCTTTTTTGGTTGCTATGATCTTACACATCACTATGTCAGTACAACTTATCCTTTCGACAAATTTGAAACAGCAATACTTCTTCATTTGTCATCCTTGACTGCAGTATCAGTACTGACGTGTATATAATAGATTGTCATTAGTGGAATCTCCTAAAATGACCAGACGCACAATTTCTGAACCAATGAATGCACTAATAACATCTTTGTGTCTGATGATTCTTTACTTTCGCATTATTCATAACTTTCAGTAGAATCATTCGTGAATGCAGCTAACTTTTGGAATTTCTTTAGTCTATGTCATGGGAAACTTTATCCTCTTGAGTCCTTAAATGTGCACCCAAATTTACTGAGTATAATTATCAAGAGCAAACTCATTTTTCCGTGTCAGTCAGTCACACACACACACTCATTTGTCCCATTAGGGACTACCAAGAAGATCAAAACTTTCTCACAAATAATACAACAGTTAAAAGTGATTCCTGAAGTGAAAATCTTTTTCTCCCTTAACATGCCTTGCTCATATTCATCCTCTAGCTTCCAAAAGACTTACTCTGATGGTGACCTAATTAGTTATAACTTATTTTTCCAACTTTTTCACAGTATAACTAGCTTTCCTGATTCCAAATTAATTCTGGATCTTCAACTTGTAATATTGGTAAGACAAAAAATGGAAAAATAAACAGGTACAAAAAAATAAATAAATAAATAAATAAAAAATAAAAAATAAAAGAAGAAGAAGGTAATTTCCCAACAAAAATAGCAGAAACATCATCACTTAAACCAAACATTATTGCATCAGGATTCTAAAACCACTATGTTGCATTTGTATCAAAACTCAATAGTCAAGAAAGACAGTTCTAGACAATCTTATCATGTTATGCCGCCAATGGTATGTTTTATTTTTCATATTCACAATTACTAATTCATGAATAGTTAAATACTGTAGCAAACTCAAGTTTCGATTGACATCATTGTTCCAAGGTAGACCTGAAATGCCAGAGCCAAAAACCATTATCTACGTAGCACAAAGAGAAAAACTTGTGTTTAATATCAGAAAAACTCCCCATTGTATGGCAATCATTGAGAACACCATCAATCCAAACAAAGACCTAAATACACACATATAGGTACCTGTATGCACATATATTTGTGTACATATGCTTAAATAAAGAAAATTATAAAAGCAATAACAGTTGAATTGTGCCGACATGTAAATAAAAGCCAAAACTGTATGTATATATATGTATATGTTTATATATATAGAGAGAGAAACACATAATAGACCAGAAAACACGAAAGACCAAAAAAAAGAAAAAAACAAACAAAATTAAATATGAGAGAGAGGGATATACCAAAAGGCAGTGATGGTAGAGAAGCCAGAAGCAGTGGCCATAACCACAATTGAAGCAGCTGCAAACAAACACTGTCCAATCCTCAAAACAAGCCCACTCACCTTCCCTGGACTACCAAACAAGTCCTTCATCCCTCCCTTTCACTTTCTCTCTCTACAACATACACACACAGCTCAAAAACTACAAGGGTTTGTTCCAAACCAGATGGGTATTCTTAGATTCCTCTGATTTCAGAACATTCCCTTGAAATGTTTGTGTACTTGAAGAAGAATTAGGGCAAGGGACGAACAAAAAAATATATATAAAAACTCTAAAATCTGTCCCTTTGCACAGTCATTTTCACCGAAAATACAATATAGTATAATGTTAGGCACATCAATTATCGTGAATTGGGTCCGTGAAAAGAATAATAATCAAAGTATGAAGAGCAAAAGTTGATTTGTCTGAGTTATCATCGTCTGTGGACTGTTGTTTTGTTTTCTTTAGTTTTTTATTTTTTATATTACGTAAGCATGTTGAAGTCCTGTTTTTTACTTTCTATCTTTCTTTTTTTCTTTTTTTTTTTTAATGTTTTTAACGAAAAAAAAAATTATTACTAATTCCACTAGAATTTACATAATTAAACAACGTTTTTGAACTACACTCCTTATTTAAATGATACCTAAAAAATTAAATTGGGTTTTTTTATTTTATTATTATTATTTTTTTTTTTTAAATTCTTTTATCATTATGTGAAATGATAATATCTTTAAAGATGATTTTAAATGCAAATTGAGTTTGATTTATTAATGCGAAACTATTTAAAAAGTGAGCGATGAGGACAAACTAATTTTGTGAAGGTGGAAGGTGTTGAAGCAACATCATTATGATTTATTATAGTGGAGGGTAGGGTTTATCATTTTTCCTTGGACTGTTCCGTGTTTCCTTAGGGTACACTTTATCCACTTTTTTTTATGCTTTTTCAACTTTACTAACTTTTTAAATCATATTATTCATTTATGAATGAGTAAACATTTTACAATTAATATGTAGTTTCAAAATTAGGGAGGTAATATTCGAACCTACTTTATTGTATTCTATTTATTTTTTTATTTTTTTTATAAGATATGACAAGAAGCTCGTTGAGTTCATTAATTTATCATTTCTTATTTTATAATACCATAACTACTCTTTATGTAATTTTAACATTTGTTTTTTTTTTGTCCAGAGGCTATCTCAAAGAGATAATTTATTTTATATAGATACTTTTATTTTTAGCAGTCAAAAGAGATGAGAAAACTTTTAAAATGGGTACTTTTTCTTTTCTTTTTCTTTTTTTTTGTCTAGAAGAGGCAATTTATTCAACATATTTTTTTATTCTGGATTTTTTTTTGATGGTGTTATAAAATAAAAAAAAAAGAATTATTCCACTCTTCTTCTTTTTTTCTTTCTCTTTTTTATTTCTTTTCAAAAGAGACCTAAAATATTAAAGATTTAAGATGAAGAAATAAAATCAGAAAGAGTAATTGTATCATTTAAAAAATTAAAATTATTTAGTTATAAAATTAAGATTGGAATTGTAATTTTATAAAATAAAAAATAATTGGAGTGCGAATATCGCCTCCCAAAGTTTATTCAAAATGAAAAATAATAAAATTGACGATACCCAAACGCTGAATGTGTCATAAACCTATGAGGCCCATAACAGCAATTGTGGTGTGAGTCCCATAATTTGTGAGACACCAACTGTTATAATAAGAATACTCATTGAAATTTTGAAGTCAACTTATTTGGCAATGTAGTGGAACTCATTTTGAGCAACAATATCCTTGAGATTACAAACAAATTGAGTGGTTCATGAACAGTTTGGGCTCGACTCAATATAAATTTAATTTATGTTCGTAAATGAAATAAATGAAACATATCTCTGCCCAGTTTGATTGCTCAATTGTGTGTATGTTTGTGTATATATATATATATATAGTTTCATTGCAAATAGTATACAAATTGATTGCTCAATTGTGTGTGTTTGTATATATATATATATATAGTTTCATTGCAAATAGTATACAAATATTTTTAACAAAAGACATACGTAACAACTATATACGCTGTTAATATACTACTGATACTATTTAGATTTGCTGTTAATATTTACACACATATATATATATTTGTAAATTTAGATAGTATCTGTATGATAAGAATATAAGTAGTTGCTACATTTATGCTTTGTTAGTTTCATCTCAAGCGATTTTGGTGTGGAGTAGTTAACCTTTGCTATTGTTGGCATGGTGCCTCTAAAGATTCTAATTTCTTCCAAATGAAAGATCTCACTTTTGCAAACTACTTTCAACTCTATCATATGGTCGATCGACCTTGATGCATTACATCACATTCTCCACATTACCATGGACACTTTATGCACACGCACATACACAAATATTATTTTTTATTATTATTATTATAAGATAATGCTTGTTGATTGGAGAGGAAGGTGTGAAATAAAGAGGAATACGTGATGGTTAAAACGAATAGTTTAACAGTAAAAAAAAAAAATAAGAGATAAAAGGTTTTATGGAACAGATAAATGAATTTTAATATGAAGTTATAATTATCGGATGCTTGTTCACTATAAAAGGTTATCATTGTAGGAGATGAAAACCAATATAGATTGCGTTCGAGATGAGACAATAATATCTCAAGACAAATGAAGTACAAATATGTTTTCTTTCAAAAACAACTATATGCAAATGCCATTAAGGTACACTTCACCCGTTGCATGAATCAATCCTCTTTGATTACTCTTAGATTGACCCGAATCTTAGATTGACCCGAATCCTCTTTCGTATAATCTTTTTGTAATGTGTATCACTAACTAAACTGAGCATAATATAGATTCCGTATTCCTTTTTATCAATGCGTTTGAGAGAAAACTCTTTATAGACTAGGTTGCCTAACAAATTTTGCCTCCCAGACAGTTTATGAATTTTTAAGGTGTCCACCCTGAATTTTATTTTTTTTTGGTTGTATGAGTATTAAAAAAATAAAATTATGTTAAAAAAATTCATAAATATAAATTTTTAATTCAAATTGGTTTACATCTTGACTAACCCAAATTTAAGTTATTTATAGATACCGATCCCTAATCTACTCTCCTAATAGAATCACCGCCATTTAGCAAAAAGTTGTAACTTAAACCAACAATGCAGAATGTTTTGAATAATGTACCATATAATAATATATGTAACATAGGGGGAGGAACAAAAGAATGTCCTCGCGCCGCTTCCAATAATTTTTCATATTGATGATTCCGCCTCCAATAAACTTTCATTCAACTAATGCTTCCGCCCCCAATTCATTTTTCATTCAACTGATGCTTCCGCCTCGGAAGTGAGGTCCTTGTGAGTGTATGTGACTCCTTTATCACCATCCACCACCTGCCCACTTCCCCTAGCAATCCTATATAGCAATATAAGAAAAATACTATGCATTATTTTATTTATCAAAAAAAAAAAAAAAATGTATGATTTCTCTCTCTAGAAGTAATAAAAATAAAACAAAAAGAAATATTCAAGATGCCAAATCCCGCAATTTTTCATATATAATACTCCTATATTCTAGAATACAACTAGCATGCATGATCAACAAAATCAATGCAGTTTTCATGGCTTCAACTACTACTTACATTTCCTATAGTTTCTTAACTAACATTGTTCTAAGATGTTGATGTAGTATTGGCAAAATACATGAGTACGAGAAAATCAATAAAATATCAAGGAATAACAATATAGGCATCCTCCTGAATAGAGATTTAAGATGCATTACAAGAAACAACTACGATCCCACCCTCTAGAATTCTCGAACAAAATATCTGACATGTTTACATTCATACAAGACTCTCTTAACATTCCTAGAATACTCCACTTCTCTACAACTGTCTAAACAAGTGTGTGAAACACTCTTGAAACCCCCAATCCTGTGTGTTAAGATCTGTCCCAATAATATAGCTTATAGAAAAATATGGGAAATATAGTTCTTGAGAGTAAGAGCGCTTCATAATACAAATGTGGCTCGGATGTAGTTATTAAAAAAAAAAAAAAAAAAAAAAATCCCACTTTTCACAAACAATTTTTTACTTCCTCTAGTATTAAATTTGGCGCCTAATTTCATAAATAATATAATTATAGCTTTCAAACCTCCTCTAATAGCCAAGCAACCTCATCCTAAATATCAGTCACAAACATGTATTACTCTTGAAAAATATATAACTCAAACCATTAAGTGATCAAAACTACCCTTTTTGTTGAGTTCCTTAGCAATGTTATCTATTTGGTTGAAGTCCGGTCTTTTCAAAGCATTGCAGAACTAACTCTTTGTTAAGTCATCTATCATTTCACAGAATCACCAACTTAGCTTTTAAAAAGTCCGTCATAAGCTTTAGGGCTAAGTCAACAAATCTCATGTAAAAAATTTTCTTTCCAATAAAAGAAAGTCCTTAGAATTCATCAATTGCAAAGTGAAGAAGATGCAAACCATGAAAAGAACATGCTAATACAGATGGTATGATTTGAGAGCTAAGAAGCGTGAATACTAGTTGCACACACTTATTTGACATCTGATGCATCTCAGAAAAACCCTTAATTTAAAACTAAAATTCTTAACATCTCGACCACCTTGAGGGTTACATATCTTCTATATTAATACACACAAATATACACTGGGACATCACGTGTCCTTGTTATCTCTCTCTAAGTGACATGGTAGAAATCATTATATGATTCATAAGTTGTACTTTTCATGTTATTATCAAAGAATATTTATTTTCCATATTTAATATAATTCTCATAAAAAATATATAATTCATTGTTCTGTCCAAAACCTCTGTCCGTGTACATGATTCTTTACCTTATGAGTTTGGTCTAGGGTCATCAACGTGACTTTATTTTCGTATGCTTTGTTTCTGTATGTACCACAAGAAACTTACATTCTGCCATTTACCCCTTTTAGTCAAGGTAACATTTACCTTAATCAGATTCAACAACTATTTTAACCTTGTTTAGATGTATTCTTAGTTAGAAGTTCTTACATAACACTGTAGTCAACCAACCAAGCTTAGTCCAACCACATTTTGGCAGAGACAGAAAGAATCACCATAAGAAAAGACTAAAACACATAGACCAATGTGCATGGGTTTGTACAAACTATTTTTCATAATTAAAAAATGGGAAGAAGTTCCAGCACCATTCCAAGGAAGACATGGTTATAAAGTTCTACCAAAGACTCTAAATTATTGAACTTTAGTCACTTTATTCTTCCATCTCAACAAGAATATGTTACTTGTTAAAGAGAAAGATATGTTTGGTCTGTTTGGTTGGAGGCAGGGACAGAGCCAGAATTTTTTTTCGGGCACATTGTATATATATATAAATCAATATTAAGGGGTATATATATAAATATATAGAGATGTATAGATTGTTATAAATACAGAGAAATACATTTTTGGAATGACGTATATTAATAAATTATATATGGAGAATATAAGGAAACAATTTAGGAAAACAAAGAAAAGGGAACACATTAAGAGAGGGAGAAAATTCATGGGGGACACTTTACATATTTCCAAAGAAAATCATAAATAGATTACAAGAAATTTATATAAAATATGAGGGGAAGGAGAAAATTCCTGGCCCTTAACTCCCTCCATCCCTGGTTGGAGGGATGGAAAAATGGATGGCAGGGAGAGGGGGATGGATGGATAAGGCATCCCTAGGGAGGGAAAGTGTCTACCTCACTTTTTGATTGGTTGAATGGAAGGGATGGTAGAAAGGATGGATGTAGTGACACCTTCTTTTTTGTGTTTTTGGAAGGAAGGAGAGTTTTTATATTTTTTCACCAATATACCCTCATTATATGTGAGAGAATTTCAGTAGGCTTTAACTAGTGATTTTGCAAATAATTGAAGGTTAAAATTGGTATTACATATTTGTAGGGTAGTTTTTGTTTCTTTCCCTCCTCTCTTCCGCCCAATTTTAAGCAGATAAAAAAAAAAAAAAAAAAAGACATGAGCTAGGAGGGATGATTCATCCCTCCTTCCGTCTCTCTTCCTTTCCCTTCCAACCAAAAAAGGGAAGTTTCGTCTATCCCTCCTCTTTTCCATCCTCCCCCAATCCTTCCTTCCAACCAAATATAGTATTAGTGTTCTAAGGATGAAGTCCTGTAAATGCTTTGTGGAATTATTAGTAATATTACATGTGTCTAGTGGTATTTTTCCCATCATTTTAAATAAAATTCAGCCTCAAACAAGCGTATGGCTGTATACTCTAGGCATTATTATTAAAAATAATAAATAAAAAACAAATTTTTTTCCTAATTCAACCTAAATTATTCAGGAAAAAAAAATTCAAACTAAATTGCACAATGTTGATGTAATCCAGAAAAGGTGATGGTCTTATAAAAATGCTTCAATAAGAAATAAAAATAAAAATTCCACCACTATAAACCTGCAACATAAAATTCATAAAACAATACTGGAAAATTATACTATATGCATACCATCGCGTTGTTAGCAATCCTTCAACTCCTACTGGACCACGAGCATGAATTCTACTTGTACTAATCCCAACCTGTTCAGCGAACAAAAATCAGTATATATGAGAAGAACCTTGTCTGAATCAACTGATTTTCAATGGAACTAGTAAATAATATGATACCTCTGCACCCAGTCCAAAACGAGCTCCATCACAAAATCTTGTGCTCGCATTGTGAATTACAGCAGCACTGCCAAAAATATAACCAGTCAGTGCGGTTGTTAAGTGCATTTAGCTGACCCAACTTATTGATTATTAAATTCAGAGTAAATATATTCCAACAAGGATCAATTGGGTCATTCTCTAAATTCTAAATCCTGTACTTTTCATAAAGAACATAAAATCAGCAGGTGGATAGATTAAGGGGACGCCAGGATTAGACATTTTATCTACAAGTATTGAAAAGTCAGTTACTGTAATTTAAAAATCAGAAGCTCACATGCCTTTTTATTTTAGACCATCATGTTTCACGACGACTTTGATGTGCTTTTTTCATGTTCTTTATTGACTTTTCTGTTTTACCTTTCAAGTCGGGTGCTTGGATGTTTATTCAGCGTCATTGTAAAATTATAAAGGGGGGAGATAAAAAAGAAAGACAGACAGAACGGTCATGCTAGAAACAATTGTACCTGTCAACTTGACGTAGAAAGACTTCTGCAACTTCATGGTCTTCTGTAACAATGCAATCAGTATGCGCACTGCCAAAAGAGGAAACATAGATAAATCCCCATTTGCATGCAACTTTACTCAACAAAATATTGTCCAACTATTGCGGGAACCTTTATATATCTCTTACATAAAAATACAACTTGAAAGCACACACACACATACAGACACATTTAGAAAGATAATGATTAAATATTCAAACATACCTTCCATGGTGATGTATGTGATCAATGGCACCATACACATCATCCACAATTTCAACAGTGCAAGCCAATGAGTTGTACTCGTGATGAAATGAGCTTGCCTCTGGAATATTCATCAAGTGGCTTGCCCTTGGTCCACCATATATTTTAACACCTGCAACAAATGCACATTAGCAAGCTGTTTTTCAGATCCTTTCAAGTGATTCGTTTTGCTAAATAATTTGTCTTAAAGATTGCTGCTTGGTTGATTTTTTATTACTAACCGAAGTAAAAAAAAAAAGGCTATATCAAGGTCCATAAATTGCAAATATGATAAGTCTTTATCTTTGAGTGGAAAAGGTTAGGGATGCCAAAACTGGCTATAATGAATAAAGCATTATCATGGTTCCTCTAGCATTATAGTGCACCCCCCAATAAAATATCCAAAAATCTAACAAAACAATGGGTGGAAATCGAACAAACAGTAAGAAGTTAAATGAAGTAACATGGATTGGGGATCATGGATTGCTACACAACGTGAAAGTTGAAACAGGAACAGAGTATAATCTGGAATTGGTGCAAACTGGTTAGGTTTGTCTACAGTACTCAACTGGGAGTCAGGGACATGACAAGTTAGTTTCCGTTGTAAGTTCGGTTTTCTTTCCAACTACTAAAAGAGCAAAGATAATAGAATATTTTTTATAAAATAAGACGGTTTTTATTAGCACTCAGTTCCCTGTTTTCCATATATCTTTCTCCGCACAGAATGAAAACCGAAATAAAATTTAGAAAAAGAATTATCAAATCATTAGATCTGGTATTTTGCAACAGAAATTAACCTCATTTCAATCACATGGTTCACAGATTACAAGGATATTCTAAGTTTTTGGCAACTGATTACTGGACAGAAGAGAAGCCGTTTGCAAAAGAAACCCTACCTTTTATTTGAAGTTCCACAACAAGATCATTAACGTCACCAGTCTGCGCCAAATCCTTGTGAACGAGAAGTGTTTCCTGAGTCGGTAAAAAATAACATTAAGTGCTAATGCATAAATGGGCAATATATATCTAGAAACATAATGTCAGATTTGTAGTTATGACACCATTCATTAGTATCATCAGAGATGAGATTATCAAGAAAAAGCGAGGAAATATATTACCATTGCATTACAGGCTGCTGGATAATCTGTTTTTGCATCCAAAACAATGCGCTTCGCCATCTCCATATCAGCGGACTTATCAACATAAACATGGCATATTCCATCTGGGCAGAGAAGATACATCCAACATCATGTTCCGTTTCTCATATATAGAATATTACTTGACCGATAAAAAGCATATATTGCAAATACTATAAAGTCTGTTAGTTTAAGGAAATTTTCCTCACCAGCATGACCCAAAACAGGAATTTTTGTTGCATTCTTGATTTGAGAAACGAGTTTATTGCTGCCTCTTGGAATCACAAGATCAATAACATCATCAAGCTGGAGCAGAAATGTAAATGGTAAGTATCAACTTGCATTTATTGAATATCATTCTCAACAACAATATGATTTCACTCATCACTCTCGGATCAACCCACCTTGAGCAAATCAGGAACCTCATCTCTGGAAGTCACAAGTCCTATAAGTCGTTCACCAACATTTTCTGGGATAGCTTCAGTAATAACCTGAAAATATGGGATAAAGTGATAAGATTTGGATTATTAAAAAAACAAAAAAGGGCAAAATGAGACACCAGGAAAAGAAAACATAGAAGTTAGTCCCTCCGTCGCAATATTCTTGGCCATCTTTCTATTTTGGGGATGTCCAAAAATACACGTTACACTTAAAAAATAGATATACTATATTTTATAACATTCCCAAACTAACCTTTTGACATTAATTTGATTAGACAAGTGCACTAATTACGGAGTAGTCTATCTTTTAATAAGAATAAATTTGAAATTTCACTCTTATCAATAAATAAATAAATAAGTATTAAAAACCCACTACCATAAAAAGTTGGATTCCCCAAAAAGCCCAAGAATTTTGGGATAGAGGGAGTACAGTTTAAATTCCAAAGTAGTTCTATATTCAAGAAAACGAACCTTGTGCAAGATCGCGTTTGATCGTTTGGCTTCCTTTCCCCCTTTCAAGAGCAGCCCATTCCCACTTCTGATTGCCAATGATGCTATCTATTCAAAGAATAGAAAAATAAAAGGGCTTTTATGATCAATAAAAGGTATAATTTTATAAATACATGTTAGTCTACGCCTATTGTTCAATGAGTTAATATAAAGCAGTTAACATGAGTTTGTGAATCATGAAACTACTTTAAGAAAAGAAAGGGACAAAGAAAACAAGTTTATAATGGACATATATCTAAAACCAAAAAAAAATAGTCATCCCAAGCTTGTTATTTAAGATTTACTATAGAGATCAGTGGAGAAAAATCCTCCTGTATTGATGTTGTTTCCTATTTTCTATCTATTTTCATTCTCGTCATTTCTTCTCCTGTATAGAGGAGCAACCACCATTGTATTGTGTATGAAAAGAGAGAATATTATAAAAGTGATGTAGCCCTTTGGGCTCTTTGTGCCGTGGATGTAAGCCCTAGTGGCTGAACCACGTAATATCTTTGTGATTCATGTTTCATATCTCTCTTAACTTATATTTTATCGTTTACAACATGGTATCAAAGCCAAATTTCTCTCTTATCTCTTGCTGCGACTGCCTATGTACAAAAAAACCTGGTGTGTGTGATAACGTAGGGAGGATCCTTCCCAAGTTTGGACCCCTATTTTGGGATATTCCCGTAGCGTCTAAAATGTGCTAAGTAAAATGAGTTTATGAATCATGAAACTAATTTAAGAAAAGAAAGGGAGAAAGAAAACAAGTTTATAATACACATGTCTAAAACCAAAAATAAATAAATAGTCATCCCAAGCTCGCTATTTAAGATTTACTATTACTAGAGAAATCAGTGGAGAAAAATCCTCCTCTATTGATGTTGTTTCCTATTTTCTCTCTCTTTCCATTCTCATCATTTCTTCTCCTATATAAAGAAGCCTCCACCATTGTAATGTGTATGAAAATTGAAAATATTATAAAAGTGATGTAGCCCTTTGGGCTCTGTGTGCCGTAAATGTAGGCCTTAGTGGTTGAATCACATAATATCTTTGTGTTCTTGTTTCACTTCTTTCTGATCTTATATTTTATCGTTTACTACATGGTATCATAGCCTAATTTCTATCTTCTCTCTTGCTGCGACTGCCAATGTACAAAAAAACCCTATGGCAGTCGCTTGGTGTGTGCGAAAATGTAGGGAGGATCCTTCCCAAGTTCGGACCGTTAGTTTGGGGCCTTGGGCTGCCATCTGCCGATGTGTTCGATAGTATTGTTCTTCGCCTTCTCGTGTTCGGTGCTATTTGTGTCTTGTTTGGGCTGCCAGTTTGTTCGGTAGAATTGTTCACCTTCGCCGTGTCTCTAGCAATTTTTATTGTCTTGTTCTTGGTTTACTGTTGTGATATTTAATCATTGGTGACATCATCATCGCCGTTATCATTGGTGCTGGTACTCATCTTGAATCTCCGGATCCATTTTTATTGAGGTCATCTTGTTACACCTCTTCATCATTCGCAGTTGCTGTTACTTATCATCACAATGGCAGGTCGGGCATTCATGCCATTCGTGCTCCAACTTCAGGGGAGTATTGAAGATTCAGTGGAGGAAAATCCTAAGAGTATTTATGTTGTTTCCTATTATTGAAGATTTACTATTACTAGAGGAATCGGTGGAGCCTCCAGTATTGATGTTATTTCCTATTTTCTATCTTTTTCCATTCTCACCTCCATCATTGTACTTTGTATGAAAAGAAAGAATATTATAAGAGCCCGTTCGGCGTTATTGTTAGAATAAAAAAATAAAAAAACATTGTTGTCAGTGGAGCTGCCAAAAAATTGGTTGTCAGTAAAAAGCATGTTAGGTGTTTGGTGACACAATAAAATAAGTACTTTTCACAATTAAATTATTTTAAATTTGTTGTAGGTAAAAAGCATGTAAGGAATTCGTTTATCACAAAAAGGCCACTAGCTTGCCTCCATTTTGTCCAACCTACGCCAATTCTACTACTCATGTCACCATCTATCTCACCGTCCTTTTGTATTAATGACCCTAAAGACCAAAAGTGTGCACTTTGGATAATTATTTTATTTTGAAGTGTAATCATAACCTCATTAATATCCAACTCTTCACTAAATTTGCATTCCATATATTCAGTTTTAGTTCTACTTACCCATGACCCTTTTAATTATAATGCATTTCTCCACCTTTCTAATTTAATTGCTAAGTTTTCTTTAGAAGTGTCCAGTAGTCCTATGTCATCACCAAACAACACGAACCAAAAATATGAAAATTACTAATTTGAATTAGAAAACCAACTCTTTTGAAAACGGCATCTGTGATATTAGAAAGCCCACCAAAACTTATTAAAAAAGAACATTACCACAGTTGGTCCCTTCTTGCGAAGAAACACTAAAAAGTAATTTGGAGAACTCAATTGTGAAAGATACTATCACCATACTTATTTTAGTATTGCAGAAGAAGAATTACATTTTTACACATATAACAAAACCAAATCAACTGATTGAAAAGAAGGCCAAAGTTTGCCATCCTATATACCTGAACTAATGCATCAGGCCGAGACTCAAAAATAACCAGGAGAACACCTAAGGGAGATGATGTCTTCTCTAAGATGAATCCATCTGCAATCTGGATATAATAGTAGTCATCAGAAAATATGTGTGTGTGTGTGTGTGTGTGTACAATCATGATATACTAGACCATACAAATAAAACTAGAAAGTAGTAATCTCCTTTTTAAAGGAAATGATGCAATCAGTAAGCAAAAATTGCAACTTTGAAAAGCTAGAAAGTAGTAATCTCCTCACTTCAGCAAGAATTGCAACTGTGCACCTTGTTCAAAATTTTCCAAGAAGCTGATCTATTTCTTCAAACCCAATGTGCAATATTTTAATTTTCAGGAGAAGCAAAGAGATCTCTGGTAATTATATACACACATATATATATATATTGAATAACAGAAATATATCAATCTACCACTTGTCTCTATCCTTGTCTTATCAGAATACCTAAAGATGAAATCAGAAGACAATATTATCAAATGTCCCTCCCTTACCTCAGTTCTCCTCAGAACATGACCAATTGGCTCTTCCATGTTTGCAAGCACACGAATTGAGTTTGCAAGACTTGAAATCTATAGAATATCATAGACTGAATTTAGAAACAGGAACTATGTGAACGCTTTGAAAAAGAGTTGCATGGAAACATTTATACAAAGGACATCATTAAACATGTTCACGAGTATATAAAGCTAACAATAATTGGAATGTAAAAAAAGAAAAACTAAAAGGAAGTAACTATCCAACCTCACCTAACTTCAGTAATTCAGTAAAGTCTTGCCTACCTCAAGCAGTATGACTTGCCACCCAGAAGGGATGTTCAAGATGCAAATCCCAGTAGCAATAAGGATTTAGGAGAAAACATAACATACGGCTAGGACTGTGAAAAGCTACCCAAAGAGAAAAAGGTAAAAAGAAAAGTGAAAGACTTGCCTTTTCAGGCTTTAAAGCCAACCGAGATATCAACGAATTTTCATAGCCAGCCTGTTGTGCTGCAGCAACATCAGCGTCATTTTCAGTCGTGATCAGTGTTTCATTTGCTTCCAGGGCATCAGCTATGTCCAGCAAGATTTTACTTCTATCTTGTGGAGACATTGCCTGCAGAGCAAAGCATACCACAATATTAACACATTCCTGAGCTCATGCCACTAAATAAGAATTTATATCCACAAATCATAAGTTACACAGTAAAGATCATTCCAATTTGCAAAGAAATATGAATAGCTTCTTACAAGCACGTTAAACCTTAGCGACCATGAAAATGAAATGCTACCTGAAGCCTTCTGGAACTTTCCCTTGCTGCAACTGCCATCTCACGTCCACCGACTTCTCCAGGTGGGGCCCACTTATGTGCATCTCGATGGAAGAGGGTACCAATACGCTCTCCTTGAAGTACTTTTATGATATTGCCAACAGCATAGCCACTTCAAAAAGAAAAAGAGAGGGAAAAAAAAAACAAAAAGATAGAGAATAGAATTTACACAATCAGGCAAAAATAAACCATCAGAGACCAGCATGTCACATTGTCACAGAGTATAGGTAGCAAACACAAACTACAGCATATTATCTGCTGCTTTCTATTACACAGGCATCTATTGCTTGTTAAACATGAGAAGCTTTAAAAACGTGATCTGGGAAGGATAAACAGCTTTCTCCTCTTTTTTAACAGATTTGGGAGTTAGCCCTCTTCACCAAGTGAAACAAGCTCTTCTCAGAAAGTAGCTGTAAAGCTATACAAATTGGGCAGGAGGTTTATTGGAGAAAAGTTTTGGCATGGAAGTATGAATGCTGAAGTATTTGTATTATGAGGGTAGGCGTCTCTATAATGTGGGGAGTCCAGAAAAAGTTTCAAAGGGTATTGGGGACCTGTGAAAAAGGAGTGGCTTTTGTGGAAGAAGATTGGGGAAATTTGAAAAAGTAGTGGTTTTTGGAAGAAGATGCAATTAGTCACTTTTCCAAATGATGTGTGGTGGTCAGGAGTTCTCCCCTTTGGGATAGTATTGTAGATGTATATGCCATAAGTTAGAATAAGGTAGCATAGACATCTGATCTTTTGCAGTTGAGAAATGGACATAGGTTTTCTATTTGTGAGTTTTGTTAATTCTGTAAATGAAGGGAACTTGAGATGATTTTAGATTATAAAGATCCAACATTGACTTAAGAATATTTAAGTTAAATCAGCACAAACATTGGAGAAAGTTTGTGTAAATTTTTGTTTCTTTCCTTATCAGTGTTTCAGAAAGAATAAAATAGAAACTTTTTTTCCCGGTGGAAAGGCAAATTTTAGATAAGTGCAAGAGCATGCTACTTTTATCACACATCTTCTGATAAATGATTGTAACTCCAGCAATATTCTAGTCCAAAGATTTTGGAGTTTGGACTATGAGTACAAAGTTATCATGTTCAGAAATTCAAAGTTAGTGTCTGATTATTTAAGAACTTCCAGAAAATGGCAATGGAACTCTGGAAATCCCACCTCCCTCACCAGGATGCCGCTATAAATGAATAAAGAAGAAATGTCCTAGCCAAAGAAATTGGGAACAACTTAATACCATGCTAACTAAAATAAAAACATCCAAAAACAAAAAAACAAAACAAAAAGGAAGAAAACGATGAAGGCAAACTCCAACAACCAAAATTGATAATTCTATTGAATAGATAAATACCTAGTGATAACAACAGGGATGCCTGCATCAGCTGCATAAACAGCAGCCTTTACTTTGGCAGTCATGCCCCCTCTCCCCACCCTGGACTTGTCTCCAAATGTAATTAGTCCCTCATGCGTCTCCTTAATGTATGTATGGATTAACTTTGAATGTGGATCACTTGGAGGGCCACTGTATAGACCCTCTACATCACTCAACAGGACAAGAAGGTCAGCCTGTAGCTCCAAAGCTAGTAGGGCTGCTAAACTGTCGTTGTCCCAAAAAATACCAGAAGAGTCCTACCAAAAAGGGAAAAAAAAATGATCATGATTAGATTGTTAAACATATGCAACAAAGAAAAGGAAAATATATTTAAAAAAGGGAAGGAGCGCAAGAAATAGAGACAGATTTGAAGAAACATAATGCCTCCGTATTGTACCATAAAGGTGATGACTTGGGGTTTCAATTACTTCAAAAAGAAGTGAGCGCACATGCACAAATGCAAGGTATGGCTGGGTGTGACACATACAGTTACCCCATTCACAAGAAGCCACTCAAACCAATAATAGGATACATTCTTAACCAATCAAATTAAAAGTTATACTTTGTTTTTTCCTAGTTAAGTTATACTTTCCAACAATGCAAATAATGCCAAAGTTTATGTATTTATCAAGTTCACCCTCCCAGCACCCTCAATTAGCGGGCACCACACTGGGTGATGACCCACTTTCAACTACGTAAAGTAAGGAAAGACAAGAAGGGTCCTGTACCTCATATGGAGCTTTCCTGGTACTGACAGCATCATTTTCATTAAATATAGGAATAACTTTCAGAGACAACAATGATTTTACTGTTTCACTTAATTGCTTTCTGAAATCTGGATCCCTAAAATCATTATCAGTCACGAGTAGCTGAGCTGATGTCACATCCAGCTGTATAAAAAAATATTAGACATTTAATTTCGGTAAGAACAGTAAATTCAAAATGAGCAACTGCAACAAAAGGGTGATTCAGTTTATTATCAAAAGGCAAGGAATAAATCAGGCTACATCAACGAACACTAAAATTACAATTTTTCACCTGACTAAACAATGAATCATATAGAGCCATGAGACCATTTTGTCCAACAGCTGCACATGCTTTCCCATCAAGTTCAACTTGTGGTTTTTGGAGGTCAGCAAAGCTGCAAGACATGAACAGTAACCACCATTAGCAAAACTAATTAGTTGAAAAGAAAATGTCAAAGATATAATCCATAGAAACCTAAATCTTTTAAAACAGTTCATATGTGTGCATATATCTACATATTTATAATTTCTAATACATGTTAGAATTGAGTTGAAGTAAAAAAACCTAAAGTATGAAAATAGATCCATATATTTATTTATATATATTATATTCATATGTATAGTTTATTATACACATTAGAATTGAGTAGATGTAAGTAAATAGCTCTAGCATATAGTCCACAAAGTATCTAGGACATGTCAGTGTCCCATGTTGCCATTTGAAAATAGATATAAAAAGTTGTTTCTTCTGCCAACAAGGGTGACAATGCCAACAACTAGTGCCCAGAGATCACCATGAAACTAACAACTTTGAATAGTTTATAAGAAGGTATTCAAGAATAATTCCACCCGCTGATCAAATTCATTAAAACCATTAGAAGAATGCTCCATAATTTAGGGAAAAAAAAAAAAATTAAAAGTAATGAATTTCTTCAGGCTGATGAAAGTAAAGCTGGATTGTAAGCAAGGACACAAAGAAAACCTGCTGTTGACTAATCTCCTGTATCTAAGGCGCTGGCGACCAACGCCAACAGCACCTGATGTCACCAAAATAACCTCATATCCCTCATAGTTGAGTTCTTGAAGCTGCATTCCATAATGAATTCAACATTGTGAGCTCCATCCAAGACAATGCCAAATTGAATCAATAAGCAGGTAAAGAAATTCCACTAATGCAACAAAACTGTAGATGAAATGACGACTCTACCTGTTCACAAAGCGTTCCTAGTCTGCCCAGCGCTAGCCTTCCATCACCTCGAGTCACAACCGCAGTCCCAACCTTTAATAATCAAAAGGTAACATCAATAAGGTGACTAAAAGTATGAGAATTCCAAATTAGCTGAACATATCAAGGTCCAAATTAGGATTATGTTTCTTAACAATCCAAAAGCATAAATGCAAAAAATCAAAGAAAAAAAAATTATTAAGGTAATTAAGCAACTCAAAACCATTCTTATAACAGGTGATAAGATTCAAGATGTTTTGCATAAGTCCGTGATCATCTGTGGCGGAGCCACATAGGGTTGAGTGTAGGCAATTGCCCCCACTCAACTTTTGTTATATTTTAATTGGGAATATATAATTTTCTTTAAATTGTAAAAATACAAAAATCAAAGAAAAAAAATTACCAAAGGTAACTAAGCAACTCAAAATCATTCTTATAATGATTGTGATCATCTGTCCGTGATCACATAGGGTTGAGTGTAGGCAATTGCCCCCACTCAACTTTTGTTATATTTTACTTTTGAATATAAAATTTTTTAAAAAATTGTGAAAAACCGCACTTCAAATTATCCAAATACTTCAACACTTCCTATTATTGGTTGTTATCTTTCATCTCGTCCACGATTTCTCTGTTTTATCTTCTCACTCTTGAAAAGAAGAAGAGAAAATCATATAAGTTTTCTTTCCATATATTTCTTGACCCTGTGTCAGTAAGGAAAATCTTAATGTCTTTTTTCACCCAATCTCACTCTTTGTGAATAAAATTTTCATTTCAGGTCACAAAACAATAAATTAAGAAAAAAAAAAGTTTGAAAAAAAAAAAAAAAAAATATTTGTCACATCAAAAATTTAATTTTTTGTGAGTTGATTTTTCAAATAATTAAAATTACAATAAAGTCACTGAAACTTACTGGGATTATTTCATTTATCAAAAAGAAACTATGATGCAGGATTCAAAACATAAAAAATGGTATTAAAAATAGTATATTTCTATTCCGGTGTGTATATATATCTCTTGACATTGTTCAAAGTCACCTCTTTACTAAATTAAATTCCTGATCAAATGACAATGATAACAGATAAAAAATAAAAATAAAAAATCAATTGAAATCTAAAATCAAAGTGATTAAAAAATGGCCTAAATCAACATGCGTCATTTAATTAGCAAAAATTCAATATATCAGGACTTAATTCCATTATCAGATAGAGATTATGAATAAAAATCCACATTAATTATAAATAAATAAATAAAAAGAGCTGAATCAGATAGAAGAAAATGCAGGTAACCTTAACGATGATTCGCCTAACGTCTTTAAGAAAAGCTCGAGTTGAATCCACCGACTCCATGCCGGACGGTGCGAGTTTCCCGCCTTCCGCTTGTCCAAGAAAAACGAGGCGACTCGGTAACCAGTGTTGTAGGGTTTTGACGATTGCAGATGTATCATAGATATGTATTTATTTATTTGTAAATATATATAATAAATACGAAAAAATATATAATATATATATATTTATATCTGATAGAATTTATATAGGTGTGTATATATATCTGGAGAGAGAACAGCGGGAGTTCAGATCTGAATCATCTTTGCTGGATTCACTGACGGGACTCCACGTAGTGTCAAGATGCGCAATTTTCTGTTATCTTGACAGCGCGTGGCGTGATGTGATTGGAAGCGTCAAAACCTGATGCTTTCGTACCGGAGGGAATCGTATGTTTTTTTATTATTTTGTGTTTAACTTCAAATAAGGCGGGCAGCCCATGAGACGACGCCGTATTGGACGACGCGACAATTGTGTGTGACGTGTGTCTGCTGTGCGTTTCGTACGATAAAATTTTGGAACCACTTGTGGACAACCGGTGCGTGTGGTCGTCGTGTACTCGTGTTCAGCCAAAAGAAAAAAAATATATAGATGGACTTGGACATTCTATATGTCCATATACACACATACATACATATATTATATACATTTATTAATCCTTTTAAAAAAAATATCTTATTTATGTTAATTTTATACCGTCTAATACTCCCTCTCTCTCACAAAAAAAAACATTAAAAAAAAATCGCTTTTTTTATTTTCTGTCTACTAGAAAATAATTGTGACTTTTTTTGTAAAACGGATTGAGTATATGCTTTCTTGGTGATAAACAAACGAAATATTTTTCTTTTTCTTTTTTTGAATTTTTGTTTTGCCATTTGTACAAAATAAAATATATATTTCAAACTTATTTAATTATTAATTTTTGTAATTAGTATTATTTCAACCAAATTTGTGTATAACTCAGTCAATTTTCCAATCAGGTTAACTAAATATATATTTATTTATTTATTTTTACTATTAGCTTTTTTTTTTTTGCTTTTTTATGTTTGGCATATATTATTATTATTATTATTATTTTATATATATATATATATATATATATATATATATTCTTCGGATGATTCAAACGTTTGCAAAGCTCTTAATCTCTGAGTCTGACACCACAGGATAAGCACAAAATGCCCAGCTAAAACAGAAACCGGTCACATGTTCAACGCATATTCAGTGAAGGTATACCGTTGTGAGCCCCACCACCAAGAGAAAAAGTAGCTTGACCAGGTGGGGTCCACAAATAATCTTTTTGAGTTAATTAATAATTCACATAAAAGACCAGTTTCTCTAATGCCATAATACAGTAGTTGTTCAATTATAATCATTTTTTAATGCCATCATAAATATGGTAGCTGTTCAATTCTAATCACTTTATTTAGTTTTTTTTTTTTTTTTTTTGACAAAGTTTAGTTGTTCAATTCCCAATCACTTATAATGCTATATATTTATGACTATTAATAATGGTGATTTTGTATAGAAATATTAAAGTGGCCCCCTCAAATTGTTTTTTTATTTTTATTTTTGTCTATTAATGGTCATTTTGTATATAAATATTAAAGTGGGCCCTCAAATTGTTTAAAAAATCTTTTGTGATTATCTATTTATAGTTATCAAAGGTGGTTTAAATGAACCTATTTATGGTTATTAAAGGCACATTGAATGAACTTTTAAAATCTTGACTTTTAAAATTTAAATCTAGTAAACAAAATCTGATATATTATTATTGTAATCCTTGCTACAACATATATATTAAAACTCTATTTATATATATATTATATCTTTTTTCTTTTATATCTATTCATATACATGTACATTATTATTATTTTATAAATTAAAGGAGAAGAAAAAGCATGTACCCTATTAATGCTATATATTTATGACTATTAATGGTGATTTCGTATAAAAATATTAAAGTGGCCCCTTCAAATTGTTTAAAAATATATTTTGTAGTTATCTATTTATGATTATTAAAGGTGGTTTAAATGAACCTATTTATGGTTATTGAAGGTACTTTGAATGAACTTTTTAAATCTTGCTTTTCAAAATTTAAATCTAATAAAAAAATATATGATATATTAGTACATATATATTAAAACTCTATTCTTATATATCTATTATTATTAGGGAGGTGATATTCACAATTCACTTTTCTTCAATTGCACTACATTTATCTTTTTCATTTAAAAAAAATAACAAGAAGGTCCTTCAATTCATTTTTTTTTTTTTTTACCTTCTTAAGTTTATTTACTATTTTTTTTCCCTATGCTATTCTTTCTTTTCAAAGGTCCTCTCAAAGAGATAATTTATTTCATACTGATAATTTTATTTTTGGCAGTCAAAAGAGATAATTTAATCGTGACTTTTTTTTTGTGCAATCAAAACAAATAATTTATTCAGTAAAGTTGACTTTTTTTTTTTCAGTCTTGTCATAAGAGGTAACTTTTTCTTTTTTTCTTTTTTTGTGATTTTTTATGGTCCAATCAAAAGAAATAATTTATTCAATAAAGTTGACTTTTTTCAGTCTTGTCACAAGAGGTAATTTTTTTTTTTTTTTCTGTGTGATTTTTTATGGTCCTATCAAAAGAAATAATTTATTCAATATATATATATATATATATATATATATATATATATATATATTGGTTTTATCAAAAAAACATAATTTATTCAATATATGTATTTTAATCCTCTTTTTTCGATACTTTTTTTTTTTTATCTTGACAAATGAGATAATTATTTTAATGGTTATTTTTTTATTTTTGGTTCAGTCAAAAGAAACAATTTATTCAACATAAAATTATTATTTTTAGGTCCTGGAAACAAAATATCTAAAAAGATAGTTGTGTCATTTAAAAAGTAATAATCACTTATTTGTAAAGTTAAGGTTATAATTATAATTTGGTATACGTTAGATAAAAATAATTGATAAGTATATATAAGGATTGCACATTAAACAATAAAAGATAAAAGTCAAAACTTCCACTATTAGCATATTAGGATTTCAACGAATAGTTTAAGAGAGAGAAAGAGAGGGAGAGTTAAATTATGATTTGATTTGAATCCATTTTAGTTGACTCCGTAAGCATTCAATTTTTTTTTTTATTTTTTAGTTATTTTCTATTTTAGGGACACTTGTCACATTACTTTTGCACTGTATTAGGGGTAAGCATGTACTTCTCACTCATCGATAAGTAGGCAAGCATGATCCTTAATATATATATATATATTAGTAAATTAAAGGAGAAGAAAAGACATATACCCTATTAATGTTATATATTTATGACTATTAATGTTGATTTCGTATAGAAATATTAAAGTGGCCCCTTCAAATTGTTTTAAAAATTCTTTTTGTAGATATCAATTTATGGTTATTGAAGGACAGATGCCTCGATAGTCCAAGGTTAGTGTATTAGGTGAATTTTAGAGTTCAATATTAAAAATTATTCGACTTTTGTTTGACAAATTGAGCCATTATTTAATTGGTCCAAACTTTATCAACTTAAATTATTTAATTAGCCTAGGCAGGTAATTAAATAAAAGATAATTATTTTTAACAATATAACATACTCGACCGACATTCATTCCCAACACCCAAACCTGAACGCCAAGAGCAACAAGCACAGTCAAGAGAAGCTCAACCGACATTCATTCTCAACACTCAAACCTGAATGCCAAGAGCAACAAGTATCATCAAATCGTGCCATTCTTCATTAAAATTTAATGGTGATCTATAACAAGCATACCAAATTCTCTAAATAAGTTAATAAATGGGGAAAATAATGAATTCCATACCCATAGAAACTATAGAAGTTGAGAATTTTGCTGTCACCGGAGGTGGAGCACCGAGCGTTCACGCCGAACGAGGACAAGACCAGTCAAACGCGTGACATTTGAAAACAAGTGGGCCACAATCACCAGACTTCTCAACTACAGTCACACGGTCCGTTGACGCCGCGACCATGAACCACTGGAACCTGACGTTGAAGATTTTTATAGGATGGGAGAGAGATATGAGGAACACCTGTCTAGGGGCATAATCGTCCTTTCAGAGTTCTTATATTTTATAATAAAAAATAATTAAAGGACAATTTAGTATTTTGCAATTTCTGATGGGAACATATGACGGTAAATAGGGCAGTTTGAGTATAAATTACCCCCTTATTATTTTGACATAATTTGGAATGCCTTCTTTTGCCTGTTATAGTAGATTTTGAATTCAAAGGGCCGTTGCTGCTTGCAAGGTTGGTGAAACATAGCTGCAGTCCACAAAATTCCAGCAACAACGGCCTCCATCCTAATAAGCAAGATTGCATATATAACACACTATTTTCACAACAAAAGTAAAATACAAAGCCCAAAAGAGTGTTGTAGTTGTAGTCGATTTAAAATAAAGCAGAGTGAGCAAGCGTAACAGAAATAATAACGAAACATGATTTTCTGAAAGCATACTATATTTACACAATCAAAAACTTAAAAATGAAGCAAATTCCGTAGAAAAACAAAATGAACGAGTTCAACAGCATTGATTCCTGTGTATTTAAAATCGGTCTCCTAAAATATGTAGACCGACAATATCTAGGCCATTTCTGATCACCAATCCCACAAACAACATTATGGAAAATGCTCTGCTCATAAGTTTAACATTCAATGCTTTTTCTCCACATTAAATGTCTCAATCTTCATTGCACTACAATATATCCTGGTAAGCAAAACCCACGCCAAACACAACTTTTCTTCCAAACACCTCCGTCTTGGACAACATCTTCTCAAGTATCATGTAACTGAGAAACACAGTGGCTTGAGCATGCGTGGATTACAATGGCTCGAGCTTATGGGAAAAACCACATCTTGATGAAGATTGCCAAACCCATTTGCAAGACAAATGCAGCGACCAACACCACTGTAAGATCATTCCCCTCTACGTAAGACTTGAGGTTCAAGGCAACGAAGCTAGCTGATGCAGCACCAGTGATGATTATGATGATCCACCGAAGAAACTCGACCGGTATAACCAACAAAAACTAAATAAAAATAAAGAATTCCAGAGGAATGTATCAGACACTCACCAAATCACTATACAACAAAAGGAACTCATTCCAATAAGGATGTACCAAATAATCATAATATAAAAAAAGAAACTGATAAAAAATTTCAGCTTGATATATAGAAAATAGCACATAAAAGGACCCCATGTAATGCCAGGGGCACAAGGATTTGGAGCTAGAATGGCAAAGCAGAAGATACTAAGACAGCAACATCGTGGCTCACACATGAGGAACCACCAATTATCAGGAAATATCTTGGATTATAGAACACTGTTCAAGCATTTTCCATTTTCTTATGCTCAGTAACAGATGTGCAGATAACATGTATATTTTGTAACGCATGGTAGCAAGTCTAGATAACATGCATATGTGTATGTGCTCACGTGTGTGTTTCAGAGAGAGAGAGAGTGAGAATCCAATGGTTATCAATAATGCCTCTAATTTTATTCAAGTAACTTCATTATATAACACACAGCAGCATCAGAATTGTATTATTCACAGATCTGCATGTGTTATAATCTAAAAAAGTTGCTTTAAGAGGACTTGCAATATTAAACTTGATCCAGAATCTAACTTAATTGGATGTTCAGCTCATCCAATGAAAGCCTTTTTGTGTTTCGAAGACAATTAAGAGTAGCGTAAAGAACACGGATGACTTTGTACAAGCCTTTTCAATCACGTTATGGTAGAGACCCACTAAAAGGACCTTTAACATTTTTTTTTTTTCCTTTTTTCCCCAGGTTTCTGGCCACAAGGGTTATAAGTAATCTAAATAAAAAAGACAAAGCCAGAGCTAAGGTGAATACTTACAGAGCTGAGAATAAAAATGAAGAGAGAATATCCCCACATGCACCAAAAACGTACAAGGCTAGCATTTGAACCCAGATAATGAAGCAAGAAGTAGAATCCCAGTGGCACAATGACTGCATAACCATACACCGAGCATGTTGCCACATTTAAATAGTTGACATCAAAGCTCCAAGAGCTACTGCTGTCACTACGTTTCTGCATCAGGTATGTTGCACAGTTTCCAAGGGAAGCGATCACAAACACCAATGTAGTGGAGATCCAGATAAGCCCATAGCTGAAATATCAGAAAAGTTAGCACCAAGGCTACATTATATATTGAGACGATCATACTTGGAAATTGAAGATCTCCAAAATTGTTGATAAAAATTAAGTATCTATGCATTGTGGCAAAAATATGGATACTATTCATTTATACAAGAAAAACCATAAACAACAGAGAAAAAATGTAGAAGAAGAATAGGCTGATCCACCTTTATCTCTCCTCCTTCCTCTCGCACGTCTCTTTCATCAATCCTTCTCTCTGCATAACATCAGTCTCCCACACCATCACCCCTCTAGCCCAGATGGCATGGTCTCTCCTCTACAAAGGGGAGGTTGAGAGTTCGAGCCCCCACTAGGGGCATTTTGTGAGTATGGCTGTGTGTGTTTGAATTTAGTTGATCATATGGTATCCTTATAGGACAAGTCATTTGAATATTAATGATCCACCCTCAAAGAAAATGAGAAGCTATAATCATACACAACAGGGATAAGCGTACTCATTCTAATTTCCCAAACAAGTAGCTTTCAAAAAATATCACAAATATATCGACTTACAATTTTGTTCATCTGTTACCTCCCTTGGTAAGAGGATTTAATTCCTAGTAAACCATAGAAAATGCAGAAGGAAACCCCGGAATCAACCCCACCGGGTAACCGACTTGGCAAGGCGTCTGGGCATGACTCAGAGGTCTTGTGTTCAATTTCTAGAGAGTCAAAAATATCCTCCTTGAATTTACCCAATACCCCTGTTTTGGGGTGATTGTGGGTATCCGAAGGGATTAGTCCCACCCCCTAAGAGGATGGGGTGTGTGAGTGTTTTTCTTGCTAAGGTAAAAATAATAATAAAAAAGAATGAAAAGAAAAGACACACCCCCCCCCCCCCCCCCCCTTCTCTTTTTAGCATGTTATATAAAAACATAGTTTTTCCTCGTTCAAACTTTGAAAAATACTCGTAATTAGTGAAGCTAATAGCGTTCATGTGTTTCCAAAAATTGTTTCAAGTGCCAAGTCACAAAATAAATAAATTAAAATTAGACAGATAGGAAAGATGCCAGAACAAGTAGAAAGATTTACACATTTGCAACTTAGAATCAGAGAATTAAAAGGAAAAAAAAAAAAATTGGAAAGTGCTTTCATAGAAATCTTTACCGCACCCAAACAGAAAACATAAAGAAATAGGTGAAACCGATAATATATATATATATATATATATATATATATATATATATATATATATATATATATTGGTTATATTAAAACCAAACCTGTAACTCTGTTTGAACAACACTGTAGTCAAATATAAAAATTTCAGACATACAGATAACAAAAAAAAAAGAGAGCAGAACTCACAGATCAGGATTAGCGTCGATCTTGCTGAAAAAATCTCCATTAACTGGATATAAAGAACTCATCAATCTGTTCAAGACAACGTCTGTATCCACATTAAAGTATTGTGTGTATGATGAGATACTAAACACTCCCTTCCAGTTGCTTGTTGCTTGTTGTGCATCACCTTCTGCATAAATAGACAGATAGGAAAGATATTATAAGCCATTGCATATGTATCTGCAGCAATTTGTATCATATACAACTCAGGTATGGTTTTATTTCCGATAAATCTATAAAGATACATGGAAGATGACCCAATTGTACCAAAACCATGTTCCCCAGGTAGATGATTCAAGGAGTATCCAATGAGCTAAAAACATATACAAATTGAATACGATGGAACAGATATTGGAGCTCTTACAAAGAAAAGTCATCAAGGCATGTCACTGCTGTTCAAGATCACAGGACAAAATAAATTAAAAATACATTTGAGTAACTTCATCATTATATGCTGTTGTGCATATTACAGGGTATTTTTTTTTCACAAGTATAATGCATAAAAAGCACTCAAAAGGGGAACTACACAATTACAGGGTATCTAAAAAGGAAAAAAGAAAAGAACATACTGGAAAATTAAACAACTGCTCACAATAAGCGCAACCTTGAGCATGAAGAAAATTTGGCAAATCATTTTTATACCAGTTGCCCGTCTGTTCACCAATGCCCTATGTAATCCTGATTTATTCACATATTTATTATTTCCAACATACCATAATCTTATTTGCTACAATAATTTTTCTTATTAGTGTGCAATGCTTAGAAAAACAAAGAAATGGGAAGCAAATATCCACCTGGAGGGGTCAAGAGGCTTGATACTTTAACAATAAACAGCTGAGGCTGAAAAAGTTTCAGCAGAAATCCAGGATAACTATATAGCACCTCCCCTTTCACACTCAACCTCATTTCCAGATGATTCCAATTGTCAAACTTCCTCATTTTTTAATGCTTATTGATTCATATTTTTCTTTACTTTATATTAGCCATAATTATTTATATTAGTCTGAAGGTTAGCAAAGCATCCATCCCATTAGAAAAAGAAAAATACAAAAAGAAAAAGAAAGTCAACCATCTTAGAGGTCAAGAGACCTACCAATTCATCAAACAGCAGAGGGCTTGAAAAAATTTGGAGGGTTGTGCAGGTTTATGACAAATGTTCTTATACTACTGTATAACATCTTCCCGAACCCCAGGACCACAATGATGCAGCAGGGAAAGAAAAGGAAGAGAAAAGAAGCAGAGAGAAAAGGAAGAAAGAGAAAAAGAAGAAAGTGACTGTAAATCTCTGCAACTTGATTAAAATCCAATAATAACAATGATATCTTGCATGGAGTGTGAGTCCCCTTCCTCATGTCCATCAGTTACGATTTTGAAAGGTGGAAGAAAATGTGTATGATTTGTTGAGCAAAAGGGATTAGAATAGGATTCATTTCAAAAGTAATGAGTTGCTAGCAATTCAGAAATAATTAAAAGAATGATTTTGGGAATCTACAGCTAGCAGGCATTTTCTAATTCTTATATAGAATTTCATGACTGAAATTCGAGCTTAAATGGGACCAAGAGGAGGAGGGAAGAAAAATCTAGGGCTATGACGCTATGTTTAATTTTGTTTTGTAATTACAGCTTTCTATTTACTGATTAGAATAGGATTCATTTCAAAAGTAATAAGTTGCTAGCAATTCAGAAATAATTAAAAGAATGATTTTGGGAATCTACAGCTAGCAGCCATTTCTAAATCTTATATAGTGTTTCAGGACTGAAATTCGAGCTTAAATGGGACCAAGAAGAGGAGGGAAGAAAAATCTAGGGCTATGACGCTATGTTTAATTTTGTTTTGTAATTACAGCTTTCTATTTTCTGACAACAAAAATAAAAAATGAGAACAGCTTCAATTTTATTTGGTTGTGTGTTTTCTGAACAATGATCTCTGCAAATATATATATATATATATATTAAAAGAAGAAGAAGAAGAAGAAAGACCTAATCTCATAGAACATCTTTTTCTATTATTTGAAGACTCTTTTCAGAACAAAACCAAAGCCTAGGAATCCCGAAAAGATCTTTATACTTCACCTCCAAGCAATAATCCAAATCTTATAAACACAATCTTTAATTCCCATAACTCAACTCCAATGATATGAATATATAATCTGACTGAATGAACATAAACAGACTCAAATTCAATCCAAAACTAGATTAACCAAGTCCCAAATCGTGTCTATATGACATTTCTAATAAACCCCTTTGCTTTATAGCAAGCTCTGTAGTCTGTATCAAAATACAAGGGAGACTTCCTTTCCAATTTTTCCTTGCATTCTAGATTATCAAATAACATAAAGAAAGCAGTCAGTCTAGGTACAAAATGGACATGTATTTTAACTATTTCCCTGAATCTACTCCTACTATAATGTCTACTTGTCTATTCAGCTAAATCTATGATGTAAGCAGATAGCATACACTATGGAACATCTCGGAAAATGTGACTCAACTCATCCATAATGATCAATGTCTCCAAAAACCCTTCTATTGTAGAATGGTTATTACACAATTTTTCATAACTTAACAGCAAAAGTAAACTACTGTATACCAACAATCACTAATTTCGAAACATGGTAAAGGTTTATGAAAAATTGCATACCAGGTTGACCTCCGAGAGTTTGATATCCCCGTCCACTGCCTCCACCATTATTTGGAGGAAATATTTGCAAATTTGCATCAGGTGCTGCACATAATTTCAACAACACGTAAACAAAATGTATGATGCAGAATCCGATCTTGAACTACAAACAATAAAACACTTAAAAATATATAAAGGTTTTTCCAATTAAAGCCTCGTACCCTCATAGGCAGTAGTCTTATTTTCCTCACTGACAACAGCCTGTACATGAATAAGAAGTAATGAATAATAATAATTCAACAAGGAAATAGTAATTAATGCACTAAGCAGCTGTTCTTTAAAACATGTTTTCGTCTAGTAATTGAGCATAAATAAATTCCAATGGAATGGTTAATATCAAGAAATCTTCTACAGCATAAATCCCAAAAACAAAAAAATCAAATATACTGATGACTTGGCAAAAAAAAAGAAGTTTTGATTAATAAAAAATAGATCTAAGTACAAATCCACATAAATAACTAAATTTAATTTAATGGAAATAGCTGTACATAAAAATGCTAATCCGTTAAAACTTTCCAACGTCCATAGTTTAGTAAAAGCAAATTTTGATATTTTGACAATTAACATTCAAACCAAGATTTGATCAGACAATGTGGCCTTGGAATTCTAATTTCGTCTTTTAAGTAGGTGGTACAAAGAAAAATAAATGAAGAATTAAATTAGGCATATAGTTGTATCATGTGAAATTGAATGGATAACATATATAACTTTCGCATAATTAATATAATGTTCTTTTCCTGCGCTTGAAAACATACAATGTCAATCACTTAATCAGAATGATGATTAAAACAGTCTCTATTAATTTCATACAACAATATCGAATAAAACATTACACAACATGATATAAACAATCGGTGAATTAGGGCAAAAAATACGATTGAGCAACAAGAACACTACAGAGACGAATATGCATACACATATACATATACATATATACATATATACAGTGCGTACCGGGACTGAACCGATCAAGTGGCTGGTAGGAAGGTTGGAAAAGGAGTCATCCATGGATGTATAGAGAGAGAAAACGAATTTCCGTTCAGAGTGACAGAGATTCCTGAGTTCAAATATATCACAATTCGAGAGTGGAAACTTGTTCCAGAGCGAGCCCTAACATCGCATTTTCTTGGTTTGGAAGAAATACGAAGACGAAGTGACCGATTGACCGGTATAAAGTCGGTCAGTTAAAAAAGTGCCAACGCCCCGCTTCTTGTTTACTACACCTACAGTCTGTACCAAGCTGTAAGTGGGCTTGGGCGTTGGGGTTGTTCCAAACTTCTGTAGCTATTGGGCCAGGCTGCCAGTAAATATAGACATTTGGTTTGCAATCAAGCCCGTACTAATTAAAAATAAAATAAAAATACTTGTAAATAAAGTGTCAATATTTTTTTTTTTTCTCTCTCTCTCGAGCACATATTTCGGCTCCATAACCTATACACCATTCAAATAAGGAGTGTCTAAATATTATTATTTTTTTTAATATTGATTTTTTTTCATGATCTATTTACTAAGAGTCTTGTTTTTCTTACATAATTATACATTTATATGGACCAAATTTAACACAAGACCCCATCTCATGGCCTTGCCATTACTAATTTAATTATCACCACACTTTGCCATTAAAGCCTTGGCTGTAAGACCACATGATTATGCTGCGTATGATTGACCACATCAAATGTGGAGGCAATTGTAATAATTGGGACCCTTTTCAGTATATTCCAACTGGTGCAATTTTGCTTTTTACACGATGATGAGGGAATATCGATCTCTGAGCGCTTTTCTGATTTTGTACTCCAAACTTTTCTGTCAATCTAATTCACAAATACTTTAACTTAAATAAAAAATAAAAATTAAATAACTTTTGGCCCCTTAATTTTCCTTTTATAAAAAAGTGTGGTGTTGCCAAAATAACAAACAGTAGTACTAATTTATTTTCTCAAGCCATGCACAACAAAATCACAACATGCATTAATCCTAATAAGCAAATACTCAAGACTTTTTTTTTTCTGAAAAGTAGAGATCATGCATAACTCGAACTTTCTCTTTAAGAAGTAGAAATCATGCTATAACACCAATCTATGGAATTTATTTATTACCAAAGCTAATTGGGAACCCAATAATGGAAGTGACTAGTGTTTTGACTGCTAACTTTCCCACAATAGAGTAGATCTTTCTTCCATTTCTTCCATTCCCAACCCCACCAGGGCCACCACCCTGGACCTGGTTGGTAGGTTGGTTCATTCCGCCATAACCACAAAAGGGAACCCCAACAGAATAGCCACCAACACACGGTGGGGCCCATGTGGTACACGATTGGCCCACGGGCCCACTAGGAACGTCCGATGGGCGGAGAACGCAATCCAGGTGGACATCCACATTGCACACGTCACACCGGTACCTCCACGATGTACATGCACGTAGGCAAAGGGCACACCAGCTAGGGTTTGCTGGCTGAAGTTTTAGGAGGTGTTGAGGGTGGTGCACATGTTGCACACTCAATGGTAACTGAGTGCAGAGAGGGTGGACGTCGAAGTCACATGCACTGCACGTGTAGAACATTCCGTTGGCGAGCTCACCGCACAGGTCACAGAAGTGTCCATTTCCGGCCCGGTTCACCAAGGTTAATTGGTGCTGGGAATGCAGCTGAGAGGGGAGGGTTAAGGGGCACGTAGCACATATCTCATGGAGATCGAAATCACACGTGGCGCACCGGTACCTAGTCCCGAACCCTAGAGTGTTGCACCCATCACAATTGTATTCTGTAGCCATGTAAACCTCATGGAGGGGATGTTTTGGATGAGTGAAATGCTGCAGAGTTGAGATTGCTGGTGGTGGAGCTGTGTGCATTAATGGAGCCATTTCTCTCTCCCTCTCTCTCTCAAGTCAAAACTACATAAATGACTCCATTGCACATATATATATATGTAGAATGTCACAAGGAGTATACTGTATACATAGTGCAACACAAATGACCAAGTCAAGCAAGTTGCATATGTATATAAATATATCTATATGTAAACGTGAAGATATATATATACACATAAATATCAGGCTACCACTAGTACTATACTCGATTAATATATATTGTTTAATTTTTCTCCTAGCTATAAGGTCAACTGTATGAAATATTGGTGGTAATCCGTTGATATCTCTTGATTCATGAATAATCCAAGATATATATATATATATATATATATATATAGCTAGCTAGCTAGCTTATGAATATTGGGCCAACAACTGATTCTCAACCAAATATATATATTTTTATCTTCTAAATTAAAGTCAACTACAATATTAATGATTAAACAGTGGTGCTAACCGCGTTGGATGCAGATGCAGATGCAGGCAGGGTGATGGCATAGGTAATAGGTTGGTATACAGTTCATTATTTAAATGAAAAATGTAGTCTCATTAATGAATTTAAAGTAACAATAATTGGAAATTAATTTATAATGATGTAGGAATAATTGTGGAAGTTGATTTATATATACGGACTAGTTGGAGCGTAAGAAGTTTCAACTTTCAACGGAGGGTGACACCTTTTGATAAAGAAAAATAAACTTAATCTATCTTGACCTAACGATAGTGGCAACTAAGTGTTGACTAGATGTTAAATCTCTCCTACTTTCGAAAGATAATATTTCGTTATCAAGGATAACGATTTCCATTGGATAAATTCTATGGGATAATGACAAATCTTATCAAGGATGAGATTTTCATGGGATAAGGATTATGATATTCCCTTATCAAGAATAAGGGAAGTGACGATAAATAGAAAGACGATTCGGGACTAAGGTACGACGAAAAAACTATTATTAAATTCCTATCTTCTTTTTAGATCTTCGGTGATTAACTTGATCGTCGGAGAGCTCTTGGCAGGCACCACACCGGTGCTGTCAAGGTTCATCGATCTTCTCCACTCTTCCTTACAGGAAAACGGTGTCGTATCGAACCACGTGAATTTCACCCTCAACAGTTGGCGCCGTCTATGGGAACGACGATTCCCTTGAATCAATTAATTACTCAGTTGGGTATTTACGTTTGCGGTCCGGTATGGTTACCGAAGGAACACGGTCGTAGGGATCTGGTCAAAGGGTAGAGTCGGTTGAAAACCTAGACGTCCCAAACGACCAGACACGCCTTGCAGCGTTGGAACTGTAGGTCCAAACACTGAGTCAGGGTATGGACCAATTGATCCAGCAAAATGCAGCGCTTCTGCAACATCTTGTTCCACCAGTTCAACAAAACTTGCCACGACAAGATCTCTCAAATCCAAACGGAGGTAATGGGAATCTTGAAGAGCAGGATAATCATCCTCCCCAAAATGAGATCGAAGTGGAATAAAGCCAAGTGGGAAACCGACATAGAGAAGTGGTCCACCCGTCTCTCCCACGAAGTTCCCGACCTCATGAAAGCACAACTTTCTGTCTTAAGGAAAAGACAAAGAGAGTTACTTATTTCGACCTGCATATCGAGGATCTCAAGGGGAAAATGGAAGATGTAATGTAGGCTATGAAAGGGAAAAGTCCTGTCGCCATAGATGACCTGGTACAAAAGACCAACTTGCCGTTTAGCCCCACTGTTGTGAAATGTCCATTGCCTAGCAAGTTCAGGACCAAAGATCCCCTCGATCACCTGGAAACCTTTCAAGCTCTTATGCATTTGCACGTCGTGCCAGATGCAATCATGTGTCAAGCTCTTCCCACTACACTTAAGGGATCGGCAAGAGTTTGGTTCAACAAGCTAAAGCCAGGAACCATCAACACCTTCGAAGAACTGAGCAAACAATTTGTGAGCCACTTCATTACAGGTCAGAGGCATAGAAGGCCAGCCACCTACTTGCTTACCGTGAAGCAATAGAAGGGCGAGTAAATCCTAGAATACATCACCCGATTCAACACATAGATGTTGCAGGCAGAAGAGGTGGACGACAAGGTAGCTTTGACTGCTTTCATAGAAGACTCCAAACCTCCAGATTTTTGTTCATCTTATCCAAAGAACTTTCCACCAGCATGGCAGAGTTGTTGATCAGATCGCAGAAACACATGAACACTGAAGACGCCATGAATGCATGGAAGGGAAAGGAAGAAGATGACAAGAAGAGGTCAGCCCCTCTCACTAGGGATGAAAATGATACCAGTTATAAGAGATCATTCTTCAGCCAAAGCGATAGGACATATGGTGAGGAGGACTCAGATAAGTATACCGACTAACAGTTGTCTCACAGTTGGAATGAACCTTATTAAGTCATTCAAAATAAAGACTGAGGGCATCTCAGTTCATCATTTCATACGTTATTTCATTTTCTAATAAAGTCACCATCACCAGTGAGATGGATGACCCTTAATTTCTACGCAATAAAATATTATGTTTTCAGTTACCTACCTATGTGATAATATCAAGCTCAAAATAATCTATTTATCTCCTTAAAGGGACCAAGGGCCAACAACACGTCATTCCCTTATTAAAGGGACAAGAAGCCGACTACTCCTTCTACACAGAAGGGTAAAATAATTAAAACTTCCTTCATTTACTAGAGAGACGAGACGACTACCTCCCGTATTACAAGGGATGATAATGAGTGTCATGTATTGTAATACCCCGTATTTTATTTCAGAGTTTAGTTTATTTAAAAAAAAAAATTCATTTATGTGAGGATTTCTTTACCTATTATTGTGCATACTACATTGTTATATTAAGTTCATTTAATGATGCATGTAAATTAATTGTGTATATTAAAATAGTAAATTTATTCATTTAATTGTGCATGTATTATTATAATTAATTTTATTTGTTGATTATGTTTAATTAAGCAATATTAGTTAATTAAAGCATTATATTTATGTTATAAAGTATGATGATGATATAATGTGTTCTTATGTAATAATAATAATAATAATATAATAATAATAATTATAAAAGTTTATTAATAATAATATTAGTAATAATAATAATAATAGTTATAATAATAATAATAGTATTAAACTAATGTCATGATGAAATTAGAGATTAGGATAGGATTTCATCAATGTTTATGGGTGGAATTGAAGCCTTATGGTTGGGAAGATGGTTAGTAGATGAAAAAAATTAGATATTTGTAATATTTATATTATATATTTTGTATATAAATTAACTAACTTACCTTAGAAGAAAAGAAAGGGAGCTAGAAGCAAAGTATAAATTCTAGTGAGCTATTTTATAAGAGTGAAAGGAAAAGAGAAAGAGAAAGAAGCTTGGACCGGTGTAGGCGATTTTACCCGACTACGCGCAGACCGGCGGATTTATTTTAAATCCAAAAAGGCAAGTTATTATCTATTTTTCCCTTTTGAATCCATAAATTAATTGTTTAAATTATTTAGATTATGATGGGGCATTGAGAGCATGCTTAAATTTTATTAAATGATTTTTTTTAGTTTATTAAATTAATGAATTTTTAATTTGTTTAGGATGGTATATAATTAGTTATTATCCTATGATATTCAAAATATCTAAAAATATTTCCTTAGGGCATTAGGGATTTTTTTAGAATTTTTAGGAATTTGCCGGGCAGTTTCTGTAAATTCCGGCGAGACTCCGGCGAGTTTTCCGGCCACCGGCAGTGAGGAAGGTGACCGGAGTTATCTGGTGTGTTGCGGTGTATTGTAACAAGCATGCGCATGGATCAGCAGCCGTTAGATGGGTTGTGAATCCTTAGATTGATTCGGTGTAGCGCGGCACACCATATGATGGTGCGCGCTAGCCATCAACCGTAGGATGAAAGGAGCATAGGTGGATTGATCCGGTGTGGCGCGCATGTAGGAAAGGTGATGCAGCCAACCAACCGGAGGACACCACGTCAGCAGGAAGCCATCAACGCGCGCGTGGGAGCGCGTGTGCGCGTGTGGCTGATGCCAGCCGCGCGTGGAGGCGCGTGGGAGAGTGGGGAAGGTTGGGCTGCGCGTGGGGAGGCTCTGGGAGGCGCGTGAGGGCGCGTGTGGGGTCCCTACAGCTGCTGGAAATTACCAGAATACCCCTAGGGCCTGTTTTGTAAATTCCAGAACCTTAAACTTAGATTTTTAGGTACTGAGTTGGTATTTACGGGTTTAACGGGCCACGAAATTATTATTTTAATACCCGTTAATTATTCTTGTGGCCAATTAGTCTTTTCTAAGCATTTATTTGCTCGTTCACAGTACAGATACTAATGTGATTTATTTAACGACATTGTTAAATATAAATAGTGTTATTATCTTATTAAATGGTATCAACCATTACTGATAAATTAAATAAGGCCATGGTTGTAGTCAGATAAATTATCCATGATATCTTATGGGATGTTTATACTGTTAATTGATATATAAACCATGATCATTATGCTGTGTGCATTTCAGGAAATAAATGGACTGTTTAATTATGTCGCATTTATATTATATGGATGTGTTGCCATATAGAACCATATGAGCTGGCTAATAAGTTTAGACTAATTTATACCTTATGCATTCGTTGCGATAGACAGATGTGTGGCTGTCGGGGTATGTGGTTTAATATTATTGGCATGTGTTGCCTAATTGACATACTCGGTATATTTATTAATATTGTTGGCATGTGTTGCCTAATTGATATGCTCAGTATATTCATCAGTACTTTGAGAGGTGTTATCACTGTGTAGTTCGTTATAGGCTGTGTCGTCAGTACCGTGCACCATGTATAATAGCTGATTTCCCGGGTAGGGAAAGGCGACACTTGACCACCTAGTGTGAGTCTAAGTGATCACCGTCTATTCTGGTTGAGGTCATGTTATACATTGGATGGTTCCCTTAGGATGTATACAGATATAGTACTCATCAGGATATAAATGATTAATTTATTTGATTCTCTGA